TTATAAAAAATGGAAATTCTAGAGTCAAGAAGGACCGTGATTAAAATTAAGAACACAAACAGGAAACGCAGGTTTAGAGGCGGATTAGATGAGTAACTTGAAAAGATGAGTAACTTGGCAGGCGGACGAGAGGCTCAGGGAGTGAGCAGAGGCCACACGGAAGATGTACTCGCAAGTCTTTCCAGAGAACGCGAGGGGCCACAAAGCACAGACCAAAGCGGAGACGTGCGTGGTGGGGACGGCAGGCCGCCGCTCACATGCCGGTCGGCCCGGGAGGCACAGAGACCGCGGCCGTGGGAGCCCAGCTTTGCTCTGTGAGAACCCACGAGGTGAGGTGAGGAGGACGGAGGCCGCGGGGCTGCTGTGCGCACCCGGGAGGAGAGGTAAGCACAGGCACGTGGGCGTGCCCGGGGGTCCTGGGAGCGCCCCCCCCCGGGAGCCCCCCGGCCAGGGAAGGGAGTGCACAGGACAGGAGGAAGCACTCGCTCACAGTGCGGCACTAACCAGCACGGGAGGAAGATGACAGAATTAAGAAAGTGACAATCTGGTAACCGTCCTGCTAACGACCAAGCCACTAAAATCAGTGGATGCTAGAGCCACGGGTGAAAGTCTGATTAGGAAATGGACGTTTACAAAGTTTCAAAGTCCTTTCCCTGAAAACATAAGTCACAAGGACTAAGAGACTGACAGCGAGGAGCCCCCCATCTCTGCCAAGTGAGCAAACTCGACATAGGCGGCGAGGAGACCCCCGGGGACCCTGTGCCGTCTGAGAAGACGGGACGAGTTCTGTGATGCCCCTGCAAGAAGATGCACCACTGAAGCCCGTCCTGGGGACACAGGAAACAAAACCAGACGGAGGGCAGGCCAAAAACGCCTCCTGTGGCCTTCCACGGGCCCGGGGAAGCCGGAGGCACGGCCAGGTTCCCGCACGAGTCGCATGCAGGCCGCTACCCCGCGCCGGTCCTTCTGCTCAGGAGAGCACCACTGGGACGACGGGTCACCTCGAGGGGGGTCTGGGTCAAGGCGGGAGCGCGGGAGCGCCACTTGCTGGTGTGGACGGCTGCACGGCGCCTGTGAAGGAGGGCGTCCTCGTTTGCAAGAATTACACGTTAAAGCCACGGTTCTCTCCTTCGGTGGGTTCCTGTGCCCCGTTTCAGAAGCCCCGTCCCGTAGGCCGGGCGTGGGGCCCGGGAACCTGCAGCGCCGGCGACGCTGGGGCGGGGACCACACCGAGAGCCTCCGCGCAAAGTGTCCGCAGCTCAGGCGGCGCCGTGTGGAAACTGAAACGCTGGTTCAGTGCAAGGTACCTTCTACTCCTGTTTTTCTGTAAGTTCGACACATTCCAAAATCAAAGAGATAAAATGAAGATCATAAAGGTGGTTTTAAACTTAGGGAGAGGACTGTCTGTCGGCCACGACTCTTCAGGCAGGACCGGGGCGTGGAGCGAGAGCACGGAGAGCAGGGCCCCGGCCACAGACCAGTGACCGCAGGGTCGCCGGGCCTGACAACACACGGGTGACTGAGCAGGGACACGGGGTCGAAAGCAACACGAAAGCCAAGAGTCGGGCAAATGGAGGAAAAGCCATGAGACCCCCGTTCCGGAACCAGACATGTAGTTCATTGTGGCGTTCAGTCAGTCAGGGACAAATGTTTAATTACCAGGCTGGCTACTAACAACGAAGAGAGTGAGAGCCGGGAAGCAAACAGGGAGGAAATGGAATGCGAACAAAACAAACCCTTAATCCAAAAGGCAGCAAGAAAGGAAAAAACAGCGAGAACAGGTAAGAAACACACAAAAGCCAAAGTAAGAGGCGCTCCCTGGACACGAGCGCCCGGCAGCGGCACGGAACGTGAGCAGGTGAACAGTCCCGCGCGGGGACCACACGAGCGTGAAGCACACACGTTTCCAGGGTGCACGGCGCCCACCGGAGACACCAGCACGAGGCAAAGCTGTGGGTGTGCACAGACCACGACCAGAGGGGAGGCGGCAGCGCCGGCGGTGGGCAGCCCCGCACACGCGAGACACGGACCCCAGGCCTCGCAGACGTGACGACACGCCCACGGCAGCACACCAGCACGGAGGACAGCAACGCAAGCTGCCGTGACACGCGTCACGTCGTGACACCAGCAGGACGCCACACAGGGCGTGGGAGGGAACACTCTCCCCCTGGACCAAACGTCACCCGACTGACCAAATGCCGAGCCAAAGAGTAAGGCTCAGTCACATCCAAGGATTGGGATGGTAGAAAGTACATTTTAGATTACAGTGGAATTAAGCCAAAAATCAGGAACAGAAAGAGAAAGATCCCAACTGCTTTTAAATGATCCAGTGTAACTCAAATGAGTTATTGTTCTACACAGAAGTCAGATTAAAATAAGAAAACATTCTGAGTTGGATGACAAGGAAAACCCAACATCGAGACTTAAAGGATCAAGTTAGGGCAGCTGCGGAGGGCACTGTGTCCCGGTTTCCACATATCTGTTCAAGAGCAAGACAGGCTGAAAAATCAGCGATCCATCTACTCACTGTAAGAAGTTTGAAAAATAGCAAACGAAAGAGAAAAAACCAGTGAATCAGACTGTGTAACAGATGATACCAAACAAACCGTTCCTTGGATGCCACGCTCCTTCCAAGAGCAAAGGAAGAGGGAGACACAGACTAGCCACAGGGCTGAGGGCGGGGAGGCGGCCACCCTCCAGCCCACCAGAGTTTGAAGCATAAAAGAGAACATTTTAAACAACTTCGCAGCAAGGAATTAGAAAATTTAAATGAAAGGGGGTAATTCTGTGATAAATACAACTTTCAAAATCGAACCCAAGGGGCACCTGGGTGGCTCAGTCGGTTAAGCGTCCGACTTCGGCTCAGGTCATGATCTCACAGTTCATGGGTTCGAGCCCCGCGTCGGGCTCTGTGCTGACAGTTCGGAGCCTGGAGCTGCTTCAGATTCTGTGTCTCCGTCTCTCTCTGACCCTCCCCTGCTCACACACTCTCTCTCTCTCAGAAATAAATAAAACATTTTTTAAAAATGTTATAAAAAAAACTGAACCCAAGAAGGGACAAGATACTGAATATTCCGTATCTATCAAAGAAACGAAAGGCAAAATTGAGAATTTTCCGACAGAGTCCTGCCAGTCAACCACCCACATGCTGAAGGAGGCCGTGAGGTGCATCTTCTGAAGCTTGCAAGGAATAAAACCTGAAGGTCCTGCCTCAACTCTGTCCGCCGGACGCCGACAACACGCCCCACGTGAGGACGGTCATCAGGAGAAAGCTACAACCTCTCAGGAACATGGGGACAAAAGTCCTACATTACGTGAGTTAGGTTCAGCTCCAGAAGAGGGTAATACACACAAAAGTGGGAATGACTCCGCTCAATCAAGATCTCGCAGTTTGGGTTTGAGTTCGAGTCGGGCTCTGTGGTGACAGCTCAGAGCCTGAAACCTGCTTCAGATTCTGTGTCTCCCTCTCTCTCTGCCCCTCCCCTGCTCATGCTCTGTCTCTCAATGATAAACATTAAAAAAAATTTTTTTTTAATTTAAAAAGTCAGATCATCAAAAGTAACAAACATTACAGGCATATTATCAGTAAATCAACACGCTCATATAATCAGATGAATTTTTTTTAATTTAAAAGGCAAAACTCTCTCACTGGATAATATAAGATCTGTTTTTAAATCTCCTGGGCCGCACCCGCACCGCGTTCCAGCCTGCAGCCAGGGGCAAGGACTAGCACACGACACCAGGGAGACGGTGGGCACCCTCGGGGCTCCGGTGGGGGACGAGGCTCCTCGGAAGCCAAGGGCGCGTGTCCCAGGGTCTGCAAGGGTCCCAGGCAGGGGGAGCCAGCGGTGGGGCCAAGGGATGGGGCCATGTTTTGCACGCACACATGCAGGTCTGGCATCACGGGAGAGGACCCAGGGCGACAGAGAGGAAGCCACAGCACCAATCTGAGTGTTGTGGTGGCTGCTTGGAAGGTGGGAGTCCTGAGGACACAGGACAAAATGGGGCGGCGCGTGCACCAACAGATGCAGGCCCTCCACCTGGGTGAGAGCCACGACAGAGGCGGCAGGGAGGGGCCAGCCCAGCCCCCAGTCCCCAGGGCCCCAGAGCCACATGTACTTGGGTGCCCCAACGCTCAGAAGAGATGTGCAAACATACTAAGTGTGAGCACTGCAGGCTGACAGCCGCGTGGTTTCATGTACTTCCCTAATTTTCCACACTGAATAAACTCACTTTCAAAAGAACCAGAGGAACTTAGAGAAAACGCCAAGTAGCCCAAGGAAGACAGTGAGCAACGGGATATACTCGGACACCCAATCGGCGCTCCAAGCAACGTGCAGGAATTGTGATGCAAAATATTTAAGATTTCAACTGATGTAAGTGCAGGCTGCTCAGCTTTGTGACCAAATTTAAATACAATCATTTCACACACGTGCCAGTAACAAACCCAGCGACAATGGGTGTAGACAAGACCCTGCTCTTCCTCTTGTTCTGACGTCCGGACCCCCAGAGGAGGCCCCCTCACCCTCTGGCGTCTAGGACACAACTTGTAAGTGTCCTCTAGGCTCATGGGATTTTGTCTGAAACGACTCTCCAAACCATCCCGAAAACAAGTGACTCACTAAGAAGGAAGGAAAGCAGGTAAGATCGATGACCCTGGTGGAGCCCCGAGCTCGGCCTCAAGCCCGCCCCACAGGGCTCCTGCAGACACGCCTCCCTCCACAGTGCGTCCCGTGAGAGCGTAGACAGAGGCTACAGCGCAGACGACGTCCCCGCATCAGGAGAGCTTGCTGACCCGGAAGGCTCCCCGCCCATGGCCAGGCTGTCCCAGGAGCCTCACTGGCTGTGGACGGGGTGGGGTGGGGGGGAGAATCACTTCAGGGGAAAGGAAGCTCTTTCACTAAAACCAACACTCAAAAAACAACAGCCACTTTTTGGAGAAGTGACCTTGGTACGGTCGTGGGGGCCCACAGCCAGCTCCCCGGGCTTCGAAATCTCACCTCTGTGAATTTCTGGAAGGTGCGGTCACTCTGGTGAGCTCCGATGGTGACTTCTGGGAGATAGATGGGAATGGTTGTGTAATTCAGCACCTCCAGCTTATTCTGTACCCTACAAAACAAGACAGAGATCACGCTAAACCATACAACAACGAAACAAGCCACAAGGCGTTTTAAAACACCTGTATTAAAATAGTCGTACCGCACACGGAGGCCGCGCACCCCAGGCAGTCCTCTGGACGCACATGCACCTCAAAGAGCAGGTGGTCTGTGTGCGGCTGCTCTTCTGAAATGGCCTCAAGAAGCCAAGCAAGAGTCTTTCAAAAGCCGCAGCGGCCACGGAGGAGGCCTTTCGGGAAAGGCTGAGGTGTGGGGGATGGAACACAGGAGCCACAGAGTGCTTTACACACAGGGACTGCCCGAAGAGAAAACCAAACCCAACGCCACCTATACCAGTGCCGCGCACAGTGTGCCCCATTACAAGTGTGAGCAGCTAACGAACCCTGAGGGACAGGCAGCATGCGAGTCCCGTCCCTCTAAATTTGCCACGAGGCGGCCTGCCACTCGGCCTCAAGGGCGCCAGCGCAGCAAGGCCACGGGCAAGTCCGGAGCACGTGGCGGGAGCTGCACGCAGGACGGCCAGGTGCACACTCACCTGTTAAAGGTCTAACGCTCCCTGTTTCACTAGTTTATTTTGTGAAAATGTTTACACTGGGTTATAACTGCTTATCTCAAATTAAATTTCATCTGCATCTGACCACTATCCTTGGAAGGTGAAAAGCATTTGGGGGTTTTTACAAAGAAACACTAAATAAAGTCTCCTCTCTGAAGGGCTCAAATCAAGGAAATAATTACCCTGAGTGACCACTTTCCCATCGAGTTATAATGGCAGAAGTCGTTTCTGTCTCTAACGGCCCACATGGAAGTTCTCTAAATGCATCTGTCTTCCCACTACTTTGTGATCAAGAGTCCAAACCCATGTAAACTCCAGGCCTGGGCCCCTGGTGGCCGGGACACACCACCTCCGTCAGAACCACCTGATCCGAACCCTAGCTCCGAGCCCAGCGGCCCCGTGGCACTCGGCACCGAGGGCCACACGCCCCGACAACATGCGGCAGGCTGGATGCGGACGGCGGGAAAAGGCAGCTCCTCGATGTCACCACTACCAACTGTGTCACTCAGACACGGACTAATAATGACCCAGTAACAAACAGGACCTAAGGCAACGCCACCAGGGTGACGTATTCCTAAGTGTATTTATGCAACGTCCATTGACTGTGCAAGTGGCCACGAGGCCACTCGCAGGAGAGCTGTCTTCCCTGTCCCAGGAGCTGCTCACAGTGCGTCCAACCCGTGCAGATGACGCCCAAGTCCACAGCACCTTCCTTTCCACACACGTGGAGTTACTTATTATTTTATAAGGATAACTTTTTAAAGCGGTCTAACAATAAACAATCCACACTAAAAATGAAATTAGTACTTTTATGCTAACAGATATCAAGGTGGAGTTTGATTTGGTTTTCTCAGGAGTTTCAAAAACCTACAACATTTGGAAAAACTGGAAAGATGGTCTCGGCCCGGGAGCTGGCCCGCAGCGCCCAGAGCGAGGGCGCCATCTAGGCTCCACGGCGCTGGATGACAGCTCACACAGAACCCCCCAGAATGGTGTCTCCTTAAATAAACATGCTGCCAACTGTTTTTGATCATTAAAAAAAATGTCCGCTGCCACTGCTGTTATTGAGACGTGACTCAACTGCTGTCCGTTTGTCACCATGAGACTAAACCGAGCCTGTCACGAAGGCCTACAGTGTCACATCTCCACCAAACGCCAGGAGTCATAACCTGCAATCAACTACAAACTTACTGGAGATGGAAGAGAAGTGAGGGACGGGAAGCCTCTTATGACCCAGGGAGCAAAGAGCGGAGACCGAAAACATTCTGTTCACAGAGCACTTAGTGTAACTGAGGAGAATTCAAACATTGGCTAATGTGTCCTCTTGCTTCAGGAGCCGGAGTGCCCGAGCGTGGTTTACTCACAGCACAAGGGGCTACGCCACACGCTCCACAGGGTGAGGAAGGAAGCAACAAGGAACGAACAGCAGATGGTGTCTTATGACTCAACCTGATTCCTGATCAACAGAATGTCTACCCTTGCTCCTAAAACATGCCCAAAGCGTGCTGGCTAGCTCACCCCGATCTGCAGAGCTCTGTCCCAACACTTCCTTCTGACACCAAAGCCATACCCCACAGACTCTTAGCTGAAACTCCCTATGAGGACCTTCTCAGGAGTCCCAGGAAACAGAAGTCTCCATGAGGAAGCAAACGGGGGGGGCGGGAAGGCCCGGGCTCCGGCAGAGCAGAGCCCCACGCACAGGGAGCGGGGCCTGGTGGCCAGGGTCTCGGGCACGGGGATGAGAGCAGCCCAGGCAGGGGCTGGGAGTTACGGATTATGCACAGAACACAGAGGGCGGCCAAGGTGAAAAGCATAGCGGCGGTCTCTCAGCACAGGCACACGCAGTCCTAACTGAACACGGGCCTCCGTAGCTAGCGCGGAACAAAAACGATCTAAACCAACAATCTGGTCAGGTTCCAGATGAAGTGGGTATGACTGGTAAGTGGCATGTTTATGGTATTTATCTCAGAAAATTGGTCATAATTCTCACTGGAGTCCCCTCGATTAAGAAATGATACTCCAGTGAAAACAGCATGTACCCTGTGATGAGCCATCTGGGTGGCAGGGGCGGGTGATAAACTGGGAGAAGACAGGCTGTTTAGAGTAAAACAATCTGAAACAGGTAACTGAGCGCTGTAGCCTGTAACTGTGAAGGGAGTTACCGAACCTTCTCTGCTCCAATCACAACATAACTAAGTAGCCACTAAAATTATGATCTGAACACATCAATTTTAGACACAGTCTAGATCAAATTAACACACGTTCCAGATAATGTTTAGGGAGTGACACTGTGGGGGCGCCTGGGGGGCTCAGTCAGTTAAGCATCTGACTCTTGATTTCGGCTCAGGTCACAGTCTCACGATTCAGGGACCGATCCCCGCATCGGGCTCTGTGCTGACAGCGTGGAGCCTGCTTAGGATTCTCTTTCTGTCTCTCCTCTGCTCATGCTGCCTCAAAATAAGAAAATGACGTCAGAAAGAAAATGACACTGTTATCAGTGGAACAAGTCAAAAGGCCCTAGCATATCACCGCCTCGGTGGGCGGGAGGGTGCCGGGACTCACGTGGTTTCTACGTCCGTGTTCCACAGCACCTAAAGCTGACTAGAATCGCATGGAAATTTGTAAACTAACAACTTACCTGTTAAAGTTTAAAGTTAAGAGAAAGTATTCAGGGGGAAAAGGTGACCACAGCCAGGCTTAGAAGAGAGCTAGGACCTTTAGATAATTACGGGGCTGGTGGGGCGGACAGACTCAGCAAGACGCAGAACTCATTAGGACTCTGAATGGATTCTCAGAAACGGAATGTGGATTCCTGACCAGACAAAGATAAGCCACTGAAGGATTCTGAGTGCAGGGAAAGCAAGGTCGTGGTGACATCTCTACGAAATTCACCCATGGGCGTGTGCATGCGGGACAAGCAGTGGCAAGAAACAACTAACCACAGCGGGAAGATCAAGAATAAGGGATCGAACCACAAAGTGGCAGAAGTCATGGAAGAAAAGGGAAGGGAGAGAAACCACTGGAGACAAACACGTGGACCATAACGTGTCACTGAGGGTGGGGGTGGCGTGAGGGAGCCGGCCAGGAAAGGAGGGCCCAACAGAAGCCAGCTGCAGGGGTGAGGTCCCGCAGGATCCGGGCCTGCCCCACGGAGAGGAGGGAGGGCGGCAGGGTCTGTGCACACGACCGCGGCAGGGTCACATCGGCCCATCCACGCCACTGTCAGCACTGGTGGCAGGTCAGCGCTCCTGTGAAATGAGGGGGTACGAGGCAGGAGGGCCGTGGAATATCGGGAAATGTTTCTGGACACCTCCTGGGCGCACTGCTCACACCAACTGCGATTCAGGCTCACCCTCGAGGCCTAGACCCACAGGGAGACGCTACAGTGCAGCCGAAAGGACACTGTGTTTTCAGCAAGGCCCCGAATGCAACCTCATTTACGTAACTTTGCAAAAACACCTACATATAGAAGCACCTCGACAAAAAAAATTAACCAGAGTTTTCAAACACAGGGACTTCCAGTTTTCTAGCCCCAACAAGTAAAGAGCTTGAAAGTCACCACTCTCATCCGTATAACAAATTCCCCTGAAAATCAACCACCTGTCCTGGAAGAAGACTAACAGTACACAGTGGGGGGAGGGGGCAAGCAGTGTACCCAGACAGTGGGGAGCGGAGGGGAGCACCCCGCTGAGGTCCCTGCACCACCCACGCACCCTCGTGGCTGCACATTGCCACCCCTTGGCAGCAGGCAGAGCCACAGGCAGAGAAGCCACGGGGACGTGGACGGACTGCCTGGTCTGATGTCTCCAGAACATTCCGGTCACATCCTGCTCACGCTCGACCAGAGCATGAATCCACACAGAAACACTGCTGAGCATATAAAAGGCCTTCACCGATGTGAAGAGCAGAAGCCGTGTGTGTTCTGGGCTCACAGGTACAGGTAAAGCAGAGGCAGGCTGCCAGCACGGAGCATGCGTAAGATCTAAGGTCGAGTGCCCAGCCCTCTGCCCCAGGAGACCAAGGAAAAGACGACTGAAGCCTTTAAGGAAGCAGATTTAAAGAGAACCATAAAAACTAGAACAGAAATCAGACTAAAAACAGACAACAAAGAAATTCAAGAAAACAAAGAGCTGGTTCTTTAAAAAGATCAATAAATATGAAGAGAAAATTCAGAAACGACAAATAAACATGCAATAAAAATATAAATTGAAATTCAGCGTTCATAAATTGCAAAATAAAGCAAACGCTTTTTTTTTTGGTATTAAGATCACAAGTGTTTGGTGTCTGTAACATCAAGCCACAAGGTCTGTCCAGGACTCTAGGGAGATGGTCAAGCGTGCAGCCTGGCTTGTGTTTTTATTTTGCATTTAATTTTTTTTTTTATTTATTTCTGAGAGAGAGACAGCACGAATGGGGGATGGTCAGAGAGAGAGGGAGACACAGAATCTGAAACAGGCTCCAGGCTCTGAGCTAGCTGTCAGCACAGAGCCCGATGCGGGGCTCAAACTCACAAACTGTGAGATCATGACATGAGCCGAAGTCAGGCGCTTAACCAACTGAGCCACCCAGGCGCCCCATGGCTTGTGTTTTTAAGTCATAAGCTATGTTCACAGGACCTCACCCAGTTCTTCTGCCTTTACACCCCATGTGGAACAAACACACGTGCAGTGTGCTCTCTGATTATGAACAGGATGGGATCAAGATAACCCAAAAGATCAAAATTAAACAAACGGGATCAAGATAACCCAAAAGATCAAATTAAATGAGTGGATTATGGCAGCATCTCAGGAACTGACCAACTTTTCTTGTAAAGGCCAGACAGTAAGTATTTCAGACTCTGACAGCTTCAAAGAGTTTCTATCCCATAAACCAGTCTTTTCTCACGATCCTTTAAAAATTTAAGAATGATTCTTAGCAGCTGAGGGCTGGATTTGGCCCACAGGCCAGAGTTTGCTAACTGCGGATTTGAATCTCCATCAATGGGTTCAAACAGCATCCTTAAGCAGCCATTAAGAAATCAAACTTTGAAGTTTTTATTAAGATAGGGACATGCTTATAATGTTAAAATCTAGAATACAAAAATACATACAAGGTAACTTCTATTTAGAAATACATGAGCTCACATGCTTACAGCCTCCCATCCACGGTCAGGACCACACACTTACAGCCCGCTGTCCGAGATCAGGGTCGCACACTTTTTTTTTTTTTATTTTTTTTATTTTTTTTTATGTTTTATTTATTTCTAGTAGAGAGAGAGAGACAGCGTGAGCAGGGGAGGGTCAGAGAGAGAGGGAGTCACAGACTGAAACAGGCTCCAGGCTCTGAGCTGGCAGTCAGCACAGAGCCCGACGCGGGGCTCAAACCCATGAACCGCGAGATCATGACCTAAGCGAAAGTCGGACGCTTAACCGACTAAGCCACCCAGGCGCCCCATCAGGGTCACACACTTACAGCCTCCCATCCACAGTCAGGACCACATGCTTATATCCCGCTGTCCAAGGTCAGGGTCACACGCTTACAGCCTGCCGTCCGAGGTCAGGGTCACACGCTTACAGCCTCCTGTCCTCGGTCAGGGTCACACGCTTACAGCCTCCTGTCCACGGTCAGGACCACACACAGCCAGCCGTCTGAGGTCAGGACCACACACTTACAGCCCGCTGTCTGAGACCAGGGTCACACACTTACAGCCTCCCATCCACAGTCAGGACCACATGCTTACATCCCGCTGTCCAAGGTCAGGGTCACACACTTACAGCCTCCCATCCACAGTCAGGACCACATGCTTACATCCCGCCGTCCGAGGTCAGGGTCACATGCTTACAGCCTCCTGTCCTTGGTCAGGGTCACACGCTTACACCTCCTGTCCACGGTCAGGACCACACACAGCCAGCCGTCCACGGTCAGGGTCACATGCTTACAGCCTCCTGTCCTCGGTCAGGGTCACACGCTTACAGCCTCCTGTCCATGGTCAGGACCACACACAGCCAGCCGTCCAAGGTTAGGGTTACATGCTTACAGCCCGCCGTCCACGGTCAGGGTCACATGCTTACAGACTCCTGTCCTTAGGGTCACACACTTACAGCCTCCTGTCCACGGTCAGGACCACACACAGCCAGCCGGCCGAGGTCAGGGTTACATGCTTACAGCCCGCCGTCCACGGTCAGGAATCGCAGGTGATCCTGGACTTGGGCCTCCTTCCTCTCTGTGGTGAGCAGCGTGGCTCCCACCCCCAACCCACTGGGGCCGATGGTCATTTCCGTGTTCTCCACCCGCCTCACCCAGGTCGAAGTTCCCACCACGACCCTCAGGCACTTCTGTACGTTCTCGGCTCTCCTGCCCTCTCTCCCACTCACCCCAAACCCCGAGCCTGTCAGAATCAGGGTCCTGGAGCCCAGGGGCGGCCGCAGCAGCTGGGAAGGGCCTCTCTCCACTCGCCGTCAGGCCTGCTACCCGCCAGCCGCACCCAGCACGCTTCGCCCAGGTCCTCCCAGCCGTGCCCCCCACACCGAGGCCCAGACACCATCTCCTCCCTCCTCAAACCTCCAATGTGCCCCCCTCCCGGCACTCAGGGCTGCTGGCCCACTTCCAACTTCACTATGAAGCCGGGGCGACCGTCAGAGAACCTCCACGTGCCCAGGGCACGTCCCCACTCACCCTGTGCCCCTGCGTCCCGTGAGGAGCACAGGCCTCACCTTCTGCGGCCACTCCCAGCCCCCGCCCCCCGCCCCGGGAGCCTCCTTCCATGTCCGTGTCAGCCCCACCTCCACGACCACGGGATCTTTCCCGTGAGCTATTTTTTCCACCTGAAGCACAAAACAAAAAATTCTCCAAAACCATTAAAAATGAGGAAAACTTCAGGTCTTACTTGTAATAACTAACGAGACACTGTGCCGTCTCAAGCGCAGGATGATGGCAACTCTCCACGCATGCTGACGCTGGGGAAACCGTGGCCCAGCCAACGACCCAGCGCGCACGCGGAGGTCTGGCGCTCCGGCCCAGCTCTGCGACAGCGAGAGCAATGGGCAGACTGGGCACCGGGGCAGGACGGAGGTTGTGCGTGGGCTCAACACTGCGACCGGCGCTCCCCAGAAGGGGTGTGGCCCTGCCGCTGTGTGTGTCCAGCAGGCCACGGCCAGGCCAGGGCTGAGCCCCAGCACAGCTCGCCCTGGGGACTAAACGGGGAAGTCAGTAACATGCGGTCCCCGCCCCGTTATGGAGGGCAGCCGCTGACCCTCACAGGACACTTCCACCTGCTGGGGTCAGATTTGCCTTCCTGCCCGAGACGTTTCTGAGAGAAGCCAGGTCATGTGCACGTGGAGCGTCTTCCACTGTCATGAACAGTGCAGGCCCGAGAGCCCCGTTTCCAAACAGTGCCCCAAGGCCAGGGCACTGAACCCCGCGCACCAAGGTACGATGTGGCTTACGGGGACCATGGGCCTTTATCCTGGGGTCAGGCCTTGAGGGGATGTGAAGGCAAAAGTGCCAATATAACCAGCACCCAACAGAAAGTGCGCACTGATGTCTACTGGGCCACGCCCACGCGCTCCCGCCTTTTCTGCTGAGCAGAGGAGCTCCTTGGGTACCGGCCTCAGGGGATGGGGGAGCGTCGAAAGCCCGAGTGTGGACTCCTCCAGCTGTGCCGTGTCTTCTTCCTCCCTGCCCAGCCGCACACCTGCTCACCCCCGTGACCCTGGCCCTGAGCACCACTCCACAGGGGGACCCCTCCCTGCCCAGCCGCACACCTGCTCACCCCCGTGACCCTGGCCCTGAGCACCACTCCACAGGGGGACCCCTCCCTGCCCAGCCACGCACCTGCTCACCCCCGTGACCCTGGCCCTGAGCACCACTCCATGAGGAGACTCCTGAGTCTTTCCAGTAAGTTCCCCAGTGTGCAGTCAGACTTAGGGACCCTTAAAACACATGGTGATCTGGGTTGAACAGCGTCCCCCCAAAATTCACATCCACTTGGATCCTTGAATATGATCTTATTTGGAAACAGAGGCTTTGCAGGGATTATGTGAAAATGTGATCCCTGGGGACTAGCATGGCTCCCACGATTAGGGAACTGACAGCAAGAGGGAAATGTAGACAAGACACAGACGCACAGGGAAGAAGGCCACATGAAGACAGAGGCAGAGCGGGAGTGACGCAGACACCTGCCCTGGAATGCCCGACGGCAGCGGCCACCAGGAGCCGGAAGGGCAGAAAGGAGTCTTCCTAGACCCTGCAGGGCCCTAGCAGCGCCCTGATCCTGGACTCCAGAACAGGGAAACTAACTCTGCGGCCTGTGGCGCCCCAGGGGTGGGGGGGGGTCTATGATGGCAGCCCCAGGGCACACACGCAGCCATCGGCACCATGTGGCCGACAGAGGAACTCGTTCCGTGGCACAGAAACGTGACAACGGCTGCACGCATGTGCCGTTCGCGGTCTTGGCTCAGCTGGCCTGACATCAAGTGAAAGCCCCTTGAGGGCGTCAGGGCAGCAGCAGGAGACGGTGCGTGGCTACGTGCCTGCGAGGGTCGATGCTGCCCGACGAGCTAAGGGGCAGCGGGCCGCGGAGCCGTGTCCCCACCACCCTGCGCCCGGGGCTGGAGGACAAGGTGCCAGGGGAGAGAAAGCAGGACTGTCATCTGATTCTAAACCCTCTAAACCTGGACCAGTGCTCGGCACGCGCAGAAAGCAAAGTTTCTGCTGAATTAATATCACCAATCAATTAACTGTCAGGCCAGGGGATGCAAGAGCCTGTCTGACGGGAAAAGGAAACAGCTCCTTCCTGGTGCCACCATAACATCTAACTTGAAACAGAATTCCTTCACGTTCTGTACGTTTCTACAGCAGGCCGCGGACTATTCTCGAAGACCCAGCCCCCACCCCGGGAGGGCGGTTCCCAATAGCGCGGAACTCACAGCATCCGCAGGTGGTGAAGGGTCCGGTCGTCCTGCTGGAGCCACGGCCCCTTGTTGTACTTGAGGTACTCGATGTCCTCCACCACCTAGGACAGAGAGACCTCCAATTTTAGTGCGGAGTCCCGTCCTGGAAAGTAAGCAGGACAGCAGTACAGTCTAAGCCACGATTACCCAGCAGCAAGAGTCCCCCAACAGTCAAAAGAAAGGAAGCTGGACAGACGCCTTCAGTGAAGAAATGGGGCTGAGCACTGACCCTCAGTGTGCACACCCGGCCCAGGCGACACCGGGGTTGGGGTGGCGTGACCTTCAGTGTGCACGTCCAGCCCACTGACACATGGGTGGTACAGAAGTGACACGTCAGGCTAGGAGAAGAGGCATGGGGGAAAAAAAAGAAGCCAGGGAGTGGGGGGAGTGGGCAGGGTGAGGGAGGCAGTGATAATGACGGACCCCCCCACCCCGGGACTTCATTCTAAAAGACAAGCCCTGGCCACTCAAAGCAATAAAAAACAAGAAAATAAATCCACTTCCTAGAGAGATCCAACAGCCTATGTCTCCAGCCCCCAAGCCCTCAGTCTGTGGTCTGATCTCCCAGAGGCACTGAAAAGTGCCTTTCAGATGCACTTTTTCCCAAAACACGGCAAACAGGGGGCCCTCTCTTAAGCTTCAAGGATCTGAGTGCAGCCAGTCATAAACTGAAAACATGACACGGGCGCAGGAGCAAACGCAGGCTTCTGCGCAGACACCCGGCACCTGGAGGGTCTGTCCGGCTGCAAAAGCACCCGCAGCAATCCCACCCGCGTCCCAGGAACAAAAGCAAGGAGAACTCAGCAGTCCAAGCAGAGTGGGCCACGCGCAGTCCTCGGAGCCGCAGTCTGACGCGGCCTCAGGCCCCGAGGGAGCGCCCTCCTTCCAGGGACAGGACCTCACTCCGCAACCCTCTCCTCCTCCCGTGCCGTGAGCCGACCAGGCCCGCCTGCAGCGGTCAACTCCGCGGTACTGCTTGGCGTCACCACCTGCACCTCCGCCCCAGACCATAAAACCTGTACTCCTTCTAGGATTTTTATGTCTTTTGTTTTGTTTTTTAGTAATTTATGATTAATATCTAAAATATGGGATCTTCTTTTCGCCTACTGGATGATCAATTATTTCAACACCATTTAAGAAAATCATAATTTTCTTCTACTTCATGTTTTGTCTTCCTTTAAAGCACTGCCTTTACCAAAGACACACACACGTGCACACACACACGTGCACACACACACCTTCTCTACTCTCTGCTCCCTCAAGCCATTTATTAACTCTACCATTAATGCCACGTGGCTTGTTCATTTCCATAATTTTGTAATAGGTTTTCGTATTTGGAAAGGCAATGTTCCTGCATTAGTTTTTTCCAATTATTTTGGCTATTTCTCATTAAGTTATCACTGCACTGAGATTGACCTGAATTTTACAAAATGTACTTACTAACGTATCTTCTACAATTTTAAGATCCTAAAAACTAAATTATTTAAATAAAAATCAAAATCTCATGACCAGGGGAGTGGGATTGGCTGGCTCAGTACCTCCTTTAAAAAGCTTATGACAGGGGCGCCTGGGTGGCTTAGTCGGTTAAGCGTCTGACTTTCGCTTAGGTCATGATCTCGCGGTTCGTGGGTTCGGGCCCCGCGTCGGGCTCTGTGCTGACTGCCAGCTCAGAGCCTGGAGCCTGTTTCAGTCTGTGACTCCCTCTCTCTCTGACCCTCCCCTGCTCACGCTGTCTCTCTCTCCTGGAAATAAATAAAACATTTAAAAAAAAAAAAAAAAAGCTTATGACATATAGACATTTCTAAGACCGGTGGGAGCTGAACTGATTACCTGATTTATGAGACCCTTATATATGAATCAAATTTAAAAATAATTATAAACTTTTGGCCAATTTCTCACCTTTTCCGCATCTTGAGCTTCCTTTGCACTGTACTGTAAAACCTCACATTTCTCACTGTAAGAAAACAAAATATGGAATTCAATGTAAGTTTTCCAAGCTTGCGTTAACACACAAACGAATATGTAACATTAAAGCCACCACCGTGAACAGTGAAACTGCCCGTTCTTTGAACAGGGTGACGTGCGGGACATGGGCTGGCTCACGTGGTCTGAGGCTAAGGAGGACCCGCCAGCAGAGACACATGCTCTCAGCTGGACGGGGACGACAGCAGGTGTGTCTCCTGACTTTAGTTCTGACCATCCTGCCCCCACCCCAGAGACCAGTGGCGAAGGGGGACAGGGTCCGTGGGTCACCTCCGCCGCAGTTTCACTGCAGGACAGGTCGGAGACAACCCTGGGCCTCACCGAGATGGGGGCGCAGACAGCAGCCCTGCGCTGGAGAAGGAAGGACACGCTACCTGAGCTGCTAGAATCTAGGGGACACGCCAGCCCTCAGACAACCTTGTCAGCCAAGCCCGCAGCAGGGCAGAGCAGCCCCTCCCGACACCGGATCCTGGACGGGGACAGTGCCGTTTCCAGCACCTCTGCCCGCCCCCCGCCACGCTGACTGCCACAGAGACAGCCGGCTGCCCAGCCAGCAGCAGGCTGGACCCCAACTGAGGGGAAGCCTGCCTCCCCACCACCTTCATGGCTGCTGGTGGGAGACCTGCGGCCCCAACCCCAGCCAGAGAGGCCAGCAAGGCCGCCCAGACCAGAGGTTCCCTGGATAGCCCGTCCCCACAGAATGTCTGACCCCCTCCCAGCAGGTGTCAAGGACACACTACTACTTCCCATGGATCATCTGCATGGTGCCCACAGGCCATTCTCTCCTTCGGGCGTCTACACCACAGCACCCTCCTGCCGACAGACCCCAAGAACGCACAAGCGACGCTCCAACAGAAATCCACCCCGACCCTCCACAAAGGCATCGAACGTCACCCACTGCTGGCCACCTCCACAGGCCACCGGTGTAAAGAGCAGTCAGGGCAGGGAGAGCGTCTGTGATCGTACCGCTACCATGGACTCAGATTCGTTCCTGTGTAAGAACCCCCCACGCGCTGTGGGTGTGGGCAAGCCCGTGTGAGACGCCCAAAGGAAGCCCCCGCCCCAGACAACTGGATCTCGCTGCAGTGAGGTCGCTGCATTCCCTGAACACCACAAAGAGGAGTGCAACGGTCAAAGACCATAAGTGGATTGATGGCGACCCCACAGGGCTACACACACAACCGCGGAGCGTCTGGAGGGAGGGCGGCTGGCATGGAAACGGCGTAGCTGTCACGAGTGTGCGCAGGAGATCAGGAACACGGTGACAGGTACCTTCGACACGCATAACTGAGCCCACCTCTTAAGCCCCCACCGGTGGCAGGCACTGTGTGGGGCGTACGCGGTGACAGGGCCCTGCCCTCGCGGAACTTGAGACTGCAGGCCGTCAACCACAAACAGCTCACAAAGCCAAAGTCATCGCCTAACATCTCTATCTTCCGTGTGACTCCAGGCACCCGATGTCTATTCCCCGCGTGCCTAGAACGAGCAGCATCCCGTGCCAAGTGCTGCAGTAACAAAGCGCCAGGTGGCAGACGATCCTGCCACGGGTCGTGCCCGCCCCTGCTCCCACGGCCCGAGAAGGGAGGCTGCAACAAAGAGGGTGGCCCAGGGTCTCAGAGATTCGGAGATACCTTCAAGGCCTAGGGAGTGAACTCACATCCGGCAGACCCCTGAGGCCCACCCGTCCTGGGGCCCACCGTGTGTCCCGTGGCACCGGCACCCAGGGCAACATTTACAAACGGAGCAGAGCAAAGGTCTCCTCACGAGAGTGTGAGGCCAAGCCGCGGCGCAAATCACTCCTGACACACACGCATAATCAGGGTGAGGAGGACAGAAACACACGCCCTCCGACGATGTAAGCAGAGACGTGCACAAAGCGAGGGAACACCTATTCCTGGGCCCACGGTGCCTCCTGCCGTCTCACAGCACGGTTCTGACGCTCTCCACGTGTCCACGGTCAATGCGTAAGAAAACAGCGAGGCATCGCGTGTCCCACATGGGGAGGAGAGCCGACGGGACAAGCAGCCCGAACGGCAGCCGCCCCCTCGTCAGGTAAATCGCTCTGCTTCAAATATGGACGTCTGAGAGGCGCCTGGGGGCTCAGTCAGTTGGGCGTCCGACTGGGGCTCAGGTCATGATCTCACAGTTCGTGGGTTCGAGCCTCGCGTCAGGCTCTGTGCTGACAGCTCGGAGCCTGGAGCTGCTTCAGATTCTGTGTCTGCCTCTCTATCTGCCCCTCCCCTGCTCACGCTGTCTCTGTCTCTCTCTCTCAGAAATAAATAAAACGTTAGAAAAAAATTATGGACGTTTGAGCTAAAAACCATTTCTCTCATGCAATCTTGAGTTTATTGCTTAATTACTGATACTCTAACAACATTCTCTTCTGATGTGAGCCACTGTAAATATATAGTATTGAACTAAATGACTTTAAATAAACTCACCCAGGAAACCTAAAATTGTTCCTGTGGGGAAGGATCTCCTGAATTATTGTGGGGAACAAGTTTAGAAATTCCCTGAGCTTGCACCACTGCGGTAGCAAAGTTTAGGACTGAAGCATCAAGATTAGGTAAAGAGGGCAAAGCGCCCCCAGCACAGGACAAAAGCAGAAAGCTGCCTCACAGGATGGAAGGTCCACAGTAGGTGAACAGCTGAGCAGGGCTACAGACCCCAGCGGCAGGATGAAATGGCCTGGGGTTAATTGGAAAAAAAAAAGGGGGGGGGGCGCTTGTAGACCCTGAGTTAGCATGCTCTGTCTGTCCTGCCCTAGACAACTTTGCTCGGGCAGCTGTGATTTTGTACTGACTCAAACCCCCTAATACCGTGTATCTTTGAAACCCCCTTTTTCTCACACACAAGTTAATGACTGCTGTTTCATGGTCACTTTCTGCACATCCATCACATTTGCGAGCCTTCTGATCCTAACAAATACAAAGCGAAGACCCTCACTCGGGGCTCTTATCTCCTACGGACATCAGCTTCTGTCGTATTCAATTCTGCATCTGCTCTCTCGCTCGACAAGAGAGAGCTCCAGACTCAAAGTCTATGACAAATTCTAAAACACGAAGACTTGGATACTTTAGGTAACCTACCTGTCATAGGTTTCTTCAAGTTTTATGTACAATTTGTGGCTCTAGTCAAATTCCATAGCGAATGTCCGAGAGAAAAGCTGGAGAGGGACGTACGTCACCAAGCTGCACTAGGACCTGGGCCTGTGAGCACTAAAAGTAGGTCAGACGGCACAGAAAACCTCACGTGTGTGTTCGCTGAACTGTGACAAATGGCCTCCAACTTAAGTGGCTCCCATAAAGCCACACGGCTTGAGCCAGGACAGTGCACAGGCCCTATCTGTTCAGAAGACAGGGTGGATATCACAGCTGGAGGCAGAGGTAGAAGCAAATGCATGTAGCTTAAGGAGCTTATGTGGTAGGAGAGGGCGTGAGCCACGCTTTTTAAAATCCATATTATATTGGGGCGCCTGGGTGGCTTAGTCGGTTAGGCGTCTGACTTTCGCTTAGGTCATGATCTCGCGGTTCGTGGGTTCGAGCTCCGCGTCGGGCTCTGTGCTGACTGCCAGCTCNATGATCTCGCGGTTCGTGGGTTCGAGCTCCGCGTCGGGCTCTGTGCTGACTGCCAGCTCGGAGCCTGGAGCCTGTTTCAGTCTGTGACTCCCTCTCTCGCTGACCCTCCCCTGCTCACGCTGTCTCTCTCTCTCTACTAGAAATAAATAAAACATAAAAAAAAAAAAAATTAAAAATCCATATTATGATGTTCATTTGGAAAAATCCAGTGAAATCTCTCCCCCAACGCATCCGTCTCCTGCTCTCACGGTTCACACTACCGAAGGCGGGGCCCCACCAGACGTCCTGAGAGCAGGTGGAAGGACAGCCACCATGTCACCTGTGGTGTTCTTCAGGGGTGCACAGTACAGTCTGGGCTGCCAGCGTCACCGTGAACAGGTGCCACCGTATATGAAGAGCAAACACCTACCCCAAAGCCCTCTTTTCTGTTCCCTCTCGGTCTGCCGAAGCACCAGGGGCCAGGACTCTGGGTAAACACACAGCTCTGGGGCGCGCAGGGACAGAGCTGGAGCCGAGGGACCACAACCACGGCACAGCACCGTGTGCACCGCGGCCCGTGCCAGCCCCACACTCAGCGACCAGACAGTCGGCTCACATGCATGCTTTTCCCTCTCAAGTGGTGGAAGCTGGTGACCAAGGAAGGAAGGGAGGGAGGGAGGAAGGAAAGGAGGAAGAGAAGAAGGGAGAGAGGGAAGGCGGGAGGGAGGAGGGAAACGGGAGAAAACTGGCCAGGCTTACACTGCCACACAGAGGTCCGCTTGCTCAGGGCAGAAGTCCAACCCTTCTGAGCCACGGAGGTGAACCCTCGGGACCTGAGAAACACCCAACCACCCGGGAAGAAAGGGGGGCTCCTTCCCCCCGAGCGCAGCTCTCTGCTTCTCGTTGGGGGTGGCACTGTCCAACCCGGAGTTGGCAAAGGCCATGAGGCCCCACGTTAAGTCAGCAGGACACAGCCCTGCATGCCAGAGCGCCCCACCTTCTCGGCGCTGCCGGATGACAAGGATCCTGAACACCACGCTGGGGCCTCCGGCGAGGCGGGAAGCACCCCTGCCCCATGTATCAGAAAGTGGGCCGCGGGCATGGGCGCTGGGGAGAAGGAGTGGTCGTCGGCAGGCCCAGGACGGCATCTGTGACACTGTGTGGGAACTGAGCCAGCTCGGCACGGGGCTGACGCGGGGCCCGTGCGCCTTGGCGGCATCCCGCAGCTCCAGGCCCCTGGCCGAGATCAGTAAAAACCCACCCTGGGACCGTCACGTTAGTCACCACCCTGGACCACGCAGAACCCGCAGCCAGATGCAGCACCGCCCACCCTGGCCCGTGAGGACCTGCGCGCCAGGCTTGGGTGTCACCGAGAGCAGCGCACCCGGCACTGGGGAAAGCGGCAGTTCCCAGGACCGGGAGAGGGGCCCGTGACCGTGGAACACGGCACACCAGGCTCTAGGAGCCAATCCCGGGACAGACCAAGTACGAGCAGCCAGGCCGTGCAGTGGACACTTAACGGTGGTGGCCCAACGTCCTGTGACCAGGAGGCCCTCGGTGAAGTTCTTCAAAATAACCACCGAGTGAAAGAAGAGCCCCCCCCCCCCCCGCCAAGGCGGGCTCGGGCTTTACCAGCTGGAAGGTTCTGCTGGAGAATTTGCCAGGAAGCGTGTTCTCAGTTGCTTCTGTGGCCAGAGCCGTTGCGGAGGACCTTTAGGAGCCGACACACTGGAGTCCACGATCTTCCCACCCCTTCACGTACCTCCACACGCTCCCCCCGGTGCCAGTTTCCAAAACCGAGTTTTCTCTGCACCTCTGGTCTTGCAAGCGGAGCAGCCGGGCAGGAGGAAGGGGGCCCGCAGCTCGCCCTCCTGCGCCGCTAAAAAGGACCGCATCACAGCACGGCAGCGGCGGTAAGTGCCAACGCTTATGCTTAAAACAATTCGTTTTCAACATAAAAATCAAATTTTTCTTCCAAAGTTACTACAGTTTTTAATCAATTTTATACAGACTTCAAAATCTTAAAGGCATGAGATTTTTAGGAATCAAGAGGGTTAAGAAAGTTTAAGAACTATCGCTGGGAACCGTCAGTGAAAGCCTCAAACGACCTGATCCCAGTGGGACTCGAGGGAAGCCAGCGACCCCCTTCCACAGGATGCTGGGCCGGAGGGAGGGGCTGGAAACACATGCGCGATGCACTTTCAGTAACGGACGGGAGCGGGAGAACAGGAGGGCTTGTAGGGGGTTTCATTTCATACAAACAACCTTAAGAACAACTTTTAGAAGGACCTGTAGGGAATGTTTATCCTTCCTGAACCCTCTGTGTCATCCGGGAGCACTGGAGCGGTCCCTCCAGACACACACGAACGTTCAGCCGCCGCCTGGGGTGTCAGAGAGGGTCTCTGACACTAACGTCCTGTCGGGACCAGAGCGGGGGTGTGCCTCGGCCTCCCGCGACTTTAGAAGTAAAACAACAAAGTCTGGACAAGTGAGCAAGCCGACAGAGCACAGAAGCACCAGACGAAGCAGGGCGCGTGCCGCCACCCTGCCGCGTGAGCCTCGGAGCCAAACGCCCTGCACGATACCCGCTGAGCAAGGGGCAAGTCCCAGGGCCGCGGCGCACAGGGACCTGCGTGTGCGGAGCGCCCAGTCACACTCACATGACATGCGCCGTGCGCCTGGCTCACCTCATCTCAGGCAGGAAGCTCTTCTTGTAGGCGTTCTCGATGTCTTGCAGGTAGGCTGCCGTGACCTTCATCTCATGCGGCTGCACACGGGGTGGGGGGGGGGAGGCAAGTGTGAGACCTTCACACGTCTCTTTCTTTCCTGACCTTTCCCAGGCTTTCGGACGTGTGCTTAGAACAGGCCCAGAAAGATCCCCTTTCTGGGACTCACGCGTACAGCACGGAGCACACGGTACAGGGCACGTGCACACCCACAGAGCACACCCACAGGGCCTGGCTCTCCTGCTCTGCTGTGCGCCCGAGCACAGCAGCAACAGATGACAGACAAGGCCCGGCCCACCCCTCCCCTACCCCTTCAGCCCCCTCTCCACCACCAACTCCCTCCCTCCTTCTCCCTCCTCCACCGCTTGCACACCCCAGCCCCCCTCCTACTTCTCCACCTCGCACCCCTATAGTGCCTCACGTGTGCTAAGCCAAATTCAGAAACAAAACCCCACTTACAAGCAGCAAGTTCCAGTATTTCAGACTTCTTCCCATCGAGCCATGCTGCAGTCAAGTCACAGCATCTTCCCTCCCTTCCTCCCGGCATTGACCCCTGCCTGATACACTGCCTACGTGTCCCCCTCGCAAGTCCACGTTTTCACCACAGCATCAGCAAGAGAGGAACAAATACTCTACGCGGGAGTGGCACTTCCCCACGAGAACCAGTCCTAAAGGCCGTGGCGGTCTCCACGACCTCTGTACCCCGCATCAGGCTCACAGGGCCGGTGGGCACCTTCACACTGCAGTTGCCAGGCCACCCAGTCAAGTCTCGCCCAGTGCCACGTGCGTGGAGCTCACTGCCTGGCTGCTCAGGGCTGACATGGGGGCAGGGGGTGGGGGGCTCAGCTGACTTAGACAGGGGTGAAGCCCCAAGAGGGCTGGAAATGGCATTCAGTCTCCCACAGACACCGGGGCGCGGAGAGCCCACCGGAGAAGAGAAAGGTGCAGGGCAGAGGGAAGTGCTGTCAGGACACAGACCCGGCCCCACAGGGTGCTTCAGGGGACAGGGGAGGAGAGAGGGATGGCGCCGGGGCCCATAGGGCACTGGGGGAGAGCGGTGACTGGTCAGGGCCCCCCTTCGACCCCCCGCATGAGGCCCTGCCCTCTGGGGGTCCCCACTGTGGGTGCCACCCGGCTCCGGGAAGGCCGGCAACGACTCAGCAAAGTGCATGAGGGGCTCACCAAGTGCCCGGCTAGGCCAAGGCAAGGGGGACACACAGAAAGGGCAGGTCTTCAATTTAAAAGCTGAATTACGGGGGCGCCTGGGTGGCTCAGTCGGTTAAGCGTCCGACTTCGGCTCAGGTCATGAACTCACGGTTCATGGGTTCGAGCCCTGTATCAGGCTCTGTGCTGACAGCTCAGAGCCTGGAGCCTGTTTCAGATTCTGGGTCTCCCTCTCTCTGTGCCCCTCTTCTGCTCGAGCTGTTTCTCTCGGACTCTCAAAAATAAATAAAACATTAAAAGAATTAAAGCTGAATTACGTTTCCTTTCTTCTGAATGCGACTCTGGATCTCTGGAACGGGCACGTCGATGTAGACGACCACGTGGGGAGGCAGGTACTCAGGGAGGGTGACCTTCTTCACCTCGCTGTAGTGCTCCACACCTGCCACACAGGAGAGGGACACGTCTGTCATCCACGGTGTCCGGAGCACACGCCCTCTCCCGTGAAAGGGCAATGGTACACTCAACTCCCAGAGACCGCTTGTCACATCCAGAGTGGACCAGGGGGACGAGACGCTGGCCTCAGGGACACACTACAGCCCGAATTCTAAGTGTGGCTTGGCCACAGGGAGGGCTCCACCTCTACCTCTGGGGCGGGGGGGGGGGGGCTCTGCAAGCATCCGCATGGGGGCCGCGGACTGGGATGCGCCACATGCCTGCTGTGCATGCAGTCACAGACAAGGGTCTGACCTCCTCGAGGGAGTAAAGACACTTTATTTTTCAAAAAACTCAACTGAAAATACCCACTACGTTTACCTGGGTTCAAGGTACCTCAGTAAACTTAATGGGCTCCGCAGCCCGACCCACCGACACAGATGGGGTGGTGGGCAAGCGAGGGGAAGCAGGAGGCTGGGGGCGCCCCCGCTCAGGCTGTCACCGTACCGAGCAGCCCGTACGGACAACAGCCGTGCTCAGCTGCTGGTGCCTGACCACGTGCACGCGTTTCCAAGAACGGCCCGCTGCGGGCGTGCTCTGGCACACGCCGGCACCCCTGTCAATAGGATGGCAGCAGAGCACACGCTGGGCCACCGGGACAAAACCAGCGCCCTCAGCTCCCACAGGGGCCGTGTCACGAAACCACCGTCTGCAGACTTCCACGTGGTAGAAGCTTCCAGAGGCGATAAACTCCAGGGATCACACTAAGACCCACAGACAGACAACTACTTTGCTCTAGAGGAAAGTTCCAGTGACCACCGCTAGTGACATCTGCTTTGGACGGGATCCAGGGGGACTTCTGACCCAAGGGCGGCAAGGGTCTGGGCTGGAGGGGCAGGACGAAGGTGGCGCTCCCCGTGAGAGCCCGAGCCTCGCCTCCCCCGGGGGCTAACGCTCGGCCTCACCCCGGCCTCCTGCCTGGTCCCGCCCTCCGCCAGGCCAGACGGCCGTCCGCCCGCGTCCGCCAAGTGCCCGTCCTCGGCCACGTTCAGAGTCCCCACGGCTGAGGCGGCCCTGTACCTGGCTGCTCGCCCTCTACCCCGAAGCAATCTGCTCTCCCAGCCCGACGCGGGACTGATTCTCGCTGACGTCACCGCTCCCCTACCCAGCTCGCTTCTCCGCTCCCGCCCCACGAGATCCCGCACCCTTCGTGACGACCGTGCCCCTGCTACCCTCACTGACCGTGTGCGGCTGCGATGCTGCAGCAAGCGTCCTCCCCAGACAGCCGCCAGCCCCGGGCCCCGGCCTCAGTCCTCACGCCCTCTCCGGGCTCCCCTGGCACAGGCGCATCCTGTCTCTGCCAATCCCCCAGACGGCGTCCGTGACACACAGCCACCTGGCCACCTCGTGGGGTCCCAAGCTCACAGGCCCATGCAGGACACGCCTCCTCGGCCCGCTGCCGCTCCCCGGCCTCTTCACGGGGCAAGAAGCCTGCTGAGCCCACCCTTCCTCCCCCACCTTCCCCCCCACAAAGCTGACAGCCAGGTCTGCCCTGCCCCGCCCCGCCCCGCCCTATCCTGCCCTGCCCCACCTTGCCCTGCCCCCTCCCTACCCCGCCCTGCCTCCGCCCTGCCCCACCCTGCCCTGCCCGCTGTGGCCTAGGGTGCACCATCCTGCTCGACAGCCACACCTCAGGCCTCCTTTCCTTGATGCCCCCTCACTAAACACATCCCTAAGATGCAATCACATCCCCCCAACACCTTCAGTGGCTCCTCAGGACTTTCAGGTAAGAGCCAAGCACCACCCTAGCCAGGGCGCAGCCCCCCCCCCCCACAGCCCTCTCTGCCTCTCCCGGGCCGTCCTCCGCCCGCGCTGGCCCTCCCTGCGCTCTACACCGGCCGCCTGCCACCCCTGTGGGCCCCCAGCCACTCCGCCTCGTGCTCACCCGCTGCCCTGCTGCCGGCCCGCTCCAGGCTCCCCAAGGACGCCGTGGCGGACACACCCGGCGTCCCAGCCAGAGTTCTGGGCACGTCCACGACGCTCGGAGCAACAGCGTCCATGCTGCCTCACTGCCCGTCCTGCCGCGGCCAGGACCGCTGGAGCCTCCCCGCCCTCTGCCTCCACGTCCCCGGCACCCAGGATGAAGCCCGGCTCACAGCCAGCGCCCCGGAAACACTGGCTCCCTGACCGCAGCTGCTGCTGAGGGAGCCTGTGACAGGCGGGCCACCCCGACCGCAGGACACGCAGGCAGACCAAGGGCCGGGCGCCTCATTCCCAGGCCGCTTCCTGGCTGCTTCGCGCTCGCGGTCACTAACCAGTGGCTCCCGCTCTGCCCTCCGGGCCTGGGCCACCACGGGGTCCGACCACGGCCACAGGCACACTGAGCACAGGCTCCCACGGCCCCGCTCCAGAGCACCCCTGCTTAGCCGTCCTGGCCTCCTCCCCCAGCGTGCTCCCATAACCGCTCGGTCAGGCCACCTTTAACCAGAGGCCTTCACTCCTGTGTATCCGCCACCCGTCCGACCGCCCACAGCTCCCCACACGGTGCTACCGTCCCTGGACGCAGCAGACCAGCACCGCGCCAGACAGCAGAGCAGGACAGGACGATGACGGCGGGCGTGCAGGTGCGGCCGCAAGAACACGAAGACATCCTGGTTACGCGCAAAGTAATACGCTAAAAATTAGCTCAGAGATGTTACTACAGGTCAGAGAAAGTGGCTTAGGCACTCTGCAGATGGAAGAGGGCCGGGCAGGTTGGGAAGGTTGAGTGGAGTCCGCGAGTCGAGCTGTGCGAGGGTCCCGAACGGCCCCCTGCTTCCACTGGGAGACATGGATTTAGGAGGAAGAAGGTGAAAGGAACCCTCTCTGTTCCCGTGGAAACGTAACAAGCACAGCCTCTGCTCCTCCATTTCACACACGTGCACAGAACGAGTCCAGGCTGCGCGGCGCATGGAGGAAGGCCCGGCTGCCACACCAACTCACACTGCTTCCGGATGAATCCCTGGTTATACATCGCGTTCAGGAAAACAAAGTCGCTGAAGATGGAACGCTCCAGTACGACACCTTGTCCTGTTTAAAAACAGGGAAGCAAAACTCAAAAATCAGATAAAACTCAAGACACTGGAAACGAGTAATTTCACTTTACAAAACAAGTGAGTTCTTTATCGTACCATTCAAACGTCCGTACGTGTTCTCATAAGTGAGAAACTGTTTTCAAGAACTAGAACATCTCTGGTTTGGGCAACGTAATGTTTGTCTCATTCTGCCGGCTGCAGCAGAAATGCCTGGTTAAGAGGAAGGTGCTTCTGTTTGAAACCAGAGCTTTCCCGCCCCGTCTGCCCACCGCGACCCTGTGCCGCCCTGCCCCGACCGCGCGGCTGACCCAGCGGCACCCAAGACTCCTGCTGTGCCCAGCTCATCAGCAAAGCGCCGGGCCGGCCGTCTGCCAAGCACGTCCGGAACCCGACCCCGCAGAGCCGCTGCTGCCCCCCCACAGCCAGGCCTCTCCGCTGCCAAGGCTCCCGCCCCGGCCACAGGCAGCCCTGCCTCCGTGCTTGCCCCCGGGCTGCTCTCATGGCAACGGAGGGGCATTTTCAAAACTCGAGCTGGACTGGGTTCCTCCTCTGCTCAACTCTCCTAATGGAGCCCCTCTGAGCCCGTGCCGCCACTCCAGGCCTCCCTCACTGCACTCCGCTGCAGGGCCCTTCTGGGACCACAGACACTCTGAGCATGGGTCCCCATGGGCTTGGCCCTGCTGTGCCAGGATAGAGCCCTCCCCCAGCATTCCCACCCGCAGGCAGGGCCCCGGCCCCACTGCAAACCGGGCCTCAGCCTCTCGCCACCTGGCGTGGCAGTGAACTCCCCCACACTTACTCTTCATCTCCCCAGTAACTGTTAGCTCCGGGAGGGCAGGCTTCCCTTTCCAGACCCCAGCTCCCAGAACGCGCCCCGCACACGACAGGCGCTCACGAAACACTTACCGATCAGCACAACACAAAGAGAATTGGGTAAGTTTTCTCTAAAGCGAGCCTCCTGAACTTTAAGCAACGGAGAGTGCTGCGAGCTGAGGTCTGCTTCAGCACAACTCGGAACGAGCCAAGTACGGGTACTGACTCCAAGCCAGCAGCCGTTCCTCGGGGCCAGGTCTTGGACAGAACAGCGCGGGGTGACCGCACTGGTTCTAGAAGCAGCACCAACCAAAGTCAGGGCTTCCGTTCACAGAAGGAAAAGCATCACTCAGGACGTTCTGGACCCAAGACGATAGTCAGACTCCTCTGTCACCGTTTCGGGAAGGGTGAATCCACGCTGGACACGTGGAACCCTGCTGCCGCGGCTTCCCGCATGCCGCTCTGCGCACTGGTTCCGGCCGTTCCCCGGTCCCTGCCCACCGCGCCGTACGCTCTCGTCCTCACACCCCAAGAAGCAGAACCCCCTGGGCGGCAGCAGATCGCTCTGCAAATCAGCTCACCAGGTAACTGACGGCCGACCGGGCGTGGCCGTCACTGCCGTAAGAGGGGGACACAAGGCCCATACGATCCGCACCCCCTCCTCTCACGGGCGCACGCACGCCGTTTCCACCCGCAGATTCAGCACTGCCAAGGCTTGGGAGGTGTGGCCGAGCACCCCAGCGTCTGTTAGCGGTTCTGAGGGCACTCTGGGGAGGGGCCGAGTGTAACCCACACTGCTGGCAGCCAGGATAATGCGGTCCCCCCCGGGCTGCACCCTGCTCTGCGCTGACTCAGGTCCTAAGCCCTGCTGCCTGTCTCCCAGACTCCAAACAGGGCCTGCCCAGTGTACAGTCCTCGTCCATTTCTTGCTGGCTTCCAGTGACTTCCAGAAACACACCCCCCTTGCACCGTCTGGGCCTTCAGGGCCCTGTACGTCTGCCTCCACACCTCTGATGGGGAAATTCCACACAACCCATCCACCTGGCTCCAGCACACGAAATGAATTATTGTTCAGTGAATTTTATTCCAAAGCAATAGTAATGTGGGTCTCAAGGAATTTATGATCTTAAAAACACAGAACCTGCCTCACAAAATACTCTTAAAGAAAAGCTCTGCTTTGTGGCCGAATTCCAGAAAGGGTTCAGGTGCAGACCACGCCTGCCAGCCACCCGGCCCAGACCCCGGACCTGAGGACCCCGTGCCTGCGGACCCCGGACCTGAGGACCCCAGACCTGCAGACCCTGTACACATAGACTCCGTGCCTGCGGACTGCGTACCTGTGCTCAGCAGGTGCTCCAGGGCGTCCGAGTACTGCAGGAGGCGGCTGGCGTACAGCCAGGACTGCAGGCGGTAGCTGTTGCCGTCATTACTTCTCGGGTCATCGTAAAACTTCTCAATGCTGCAGCTGCCACTGAGCTCTTCGTCCAGGGGCCTCCCATCTCCTGTGGTGCTGTCCGCGTAGTGGATCCCGGCTTCAGGGAAGTGCTTTAAGCCTGAGAAGAAGAAACGTGATGAGAATGCCTCATGGGCCAGCGCGGGCAGCGCGGACCCACGGAAACAGAGCCCCACCTGAATTCAGGGCAGAGGCTTCGGTTAGGACCCGGGGCTAGTCACCCTCACGCCCGTGTTTACCCAGAACACTGAAGACGGCGTGTGTGGAGCACGCGTGTAAGAGAAGCATGTCAGCGAAAGGCCTGGGCTGCAGTGTGTCTGGTACCCTCGCGGGAGGTCCTCCCACAAAGGAGAGCGGCCCAGACCCACGGGGAGCCCCCCATGTACGACTGGGCGTCAGCCCATAGACTACTACAGGAAGTCCTTCGGCATCTTCCCCAGGTGTCAGGGGACACGGCTCAAGTCCCAGCTCCACACTGACCCCTGTGTGACGGCAGCCTCCTGCCGAGCTCCCCATCCGTAAGCGACAGCAAGGACCTGGCCCTACCCCGGACGACTGTCACAGAGCCCGGGCGACACCACTCACATGAACGTGCTCTGCTGACGTTATTAAGGAAAAGTTCCAATTCAAACTGACAACCAGTGTGGACTGTAAAAACTTCCCAAATCTCTGAGATTAAAAATAGTTTTCAATGGATTTTAAAAATGTAAAACATCTACCTCAGGCCCAGTTCCACTCAGTCTATATGAAGGTAACATCAAACTCAGACAAGCAACTATGCACTGGAGAGAAAGGAACCCCATGTGACATATATCCGTACCTAATTTCTCTGCTATTTCTTTCGCAAGCTTGCCTTTTCCAGAACATATATTGCCGTCTACGGTTATCACTTTGCTGCGTTCTGTGAATTTCTTGGTTGTCCTTTCGCCAAGTATGTATGCCAAAGGGCCGTAGCGCAGCCTGCACCGGACGCCTGTATGAATTCCTTCCTGGAAAACACAGCAGCAGGGCATGAGCATTCTGGTTCCCACAGGCACCGGCACCCATTAGGTAAAAATGCCAAAATCTACCGACTTTGGCTCAGGTCATGATCTCATGGTTCGTTAAGTCCGAGCCCCACATGGGGCTCTGTGCTGACAGTCTGGAGCCAGGAACCTGCTTCAGATTCTGTGTCTCCCTCTCAAAAATAAACATTAAAAAAAAAAAAGCCAACATCTAGGGGTGCCTGGGTAGCTCAGTAAGTTAAGCATTCAGCTCTTGGTTTCAACTCAGGTCATGATCTCACAGCTTGTGGGATGGAACTGTTTCAAAACTCTGGACTGACAGTGCAGAGCCTGCTTGGGATTCTCTCTCCCCCTCTCTCTCTGCCCTCCCCCATTCATGCACACTCTCTCAAAATAAATAAACTTAAAAAAAAAAGCCAACATCTACATTTTTATTACCTAGTTATTTAATTATTGGTTTCTCTGCCCCACTCCCAGTGTAAGTTCATAACTATAGGGGATTGTTGGTTTTGTTCACTGCTAAATCCTCAGGGCCTGGAACAGAACACACTTACCATGTGCAATATAAGTTGGATGGATGGATAGATGGATGGATGGATGGACGGAAGAAAGGCATGGAGAAGGAGGAAAAGGGAAGATAGGAGTAAGGGAACAGAGCATTTAAAAAAAATTTTAATGTTTTAATTTATTTCTGAGAGAGAGAGAGAGACAGCGTGAGCAGGGGAGGCTCAGAGAGGGAGATACAGAATCTGCTGGCTGACAGCACAGAGCCCAACGCAGGACTCGAACCCACGAACCGTGAGATCACGTCCTGAGCCAAAGTCAGACGCTTAACCAACTGAGCCACCCAGGCGCCCCAACAGAGCATTTTTCTAGTCCAGATTCTTGTCCTGAGCTCTGCACCTGGTTACCTGCCTTTAAATAGCTCCATCCAAAAGTCCTGAAAGTACCTGAAAGCTAACAGGCTTAAAACTGAAAGTTAGCATCCATACTCTAACCCCCGAATCTGTTTCCTTCCCAAGCTCCCTAACCGCTATCCACCAAGCAAAACCAGCAAACACAGGAATCGGGAATCGCCTTGGATACCCTCCTCCTCCTCCCTTCCCTGCAGACACTCACAGAGTCCTACCGACCTTAACTCTTAAGCCTTTTGGGAGCAAAATGTGCCTTCCCCATCCCTCCTGCGATGATTCTGCAAACATCTTCACATATCTCATCTACAGTACAGTGCTTCATCGCCTGTCTCCAACACACCCATTCTCTGCTCAAAAGCCACATGATCTACCCTCCACAACACACACACACACACACAAAGCAAGCAACACAATCAAAAGGCAAGCAACTAAGAAAATCCTTAGCGTGTGTAAAAGCTGTACAGATCCAGAAGGAATAGTGATAGAACAAGGAAGAATAGGACTCGTAGCTTATTTTTAAAGAATTAAAAATATCAAAAACCATACGAAAAAATGTTCATTCACTTATTTCTTCATTCAATAAGTATTCATTAGAAGCCCACACGATGCACTGCACTTTTGCTAGACAATTGGGGACGTGAATATGCGCGAAAGGATTCCACAGGACAACAAAACAGAGAAGTCGTTACAGCGGGCCCCTGAGTGGTGCAGCGGTTTGAAAATCTGCAGTTGAACCCCCGTGCAGTTGAAAATCCACGTACAACTTTTGACTCCCTACAAACGTGACTACTAATCGCCTACTGTTGACAGAAGCCTTACCGATAAGGTAAAAAGTTGATGAACACATATTTGTACAAGTATTTTACACTGTAATAAAGTAAGTTAGAGAAAAGAAATTACTAAGAAAATCATACGGAAGAGAAAATACGTTTACAATACTGTACTTATAAGAAAAAAAATCGCAAATAAGTGGCCCCTGCAGTTCAAACCTGTGCTGCTCAGGACACGACCGTCAGCAGCATAGTAAGTGCGTGCTGTGGAGGGCAGGGCAGCATGGCACACGGGCTGGGCTGTGTGTTACAAGGTGGCTACGGAGCCTCTCAAGAAAGAGTAACATTTGGGCAAAGCCCGGGAGTTGCTGAGGGCACCGGCCAAGTGGATTTGGAAGAGGGTCTTTCAGGTGGAGGAAACAGTAAGCACAAATGTCCAGAGGCCAGAGTGCTGCCAAGTCAGCAAGGCCAGTGTGGCCTATGCCAAGTGGACAAGGGAAAAGCAGATGAGATAATAAGGAGATGTTAATCATGTTGTACCTTGAACCCTAGAAATTAAACACCCTCTCCTCCAGGCTGCCTATAAGCCATGTGCAAACTGTTTCCATTTGTGTCCACAACTTGAGAACACACAGATGTGGCACAAAGTGTGCAGTAACGTCTGGTCAAGCAGTTGGCCAGGTCCCAACTTCAAAATCTTCAGAAAGTGCTTTCTTATAGAATTATAGTAGTACTCTCTAGAATTCTCCATCCTCAGCCCGTTTACTGCTCCTTAGAATCATACGGAATAACTGCTCTTTCACATCACATTTCGCATTTCTTTAATTATTCAAGTAACAAGGTGTGTACGCTTTTCATCTTACTTATTTTTCTCCGACTTAACTGAAATTCATCTATATCCCGGGTAGAAGGTACACGGGGGGGGGGGGGGGGGGGGGGGGGGGGGGGGGGGGTCTGTCTAGTGCATGTATTGCAGCAAAATACCACCTCCTTTATTCTGAGTCCCTCACTTCCACTAACACAATTCCCAGGACACCGGATATTAAAAAGATAACTACTTTTCTGTTTCTTCTCTTTGGTGGCCTGAGTTATCTCCTAAAAACATGTATATGACTTTGATAAGACTGTTGCACTGTTCTATTTAAAACGCTCTCATCACAATGTTTAGCACCGAGGTCAAGCAAGTCCCTTTACAATCTGACACCAGTTTCGTTCCTGCCCTCAGCAAGCAAAGATGCTATTATACAACCACTTATAAAAGAAGGTTCCCTAGGGCTTCCAGCCTCGATTCTTTTGCTTCTTTGGTTCCCTCTGCGTCGACGTCCCCCCACTGTCCTCTGCCGGAGGAAGTTCTCCTAATGCCTTCAGGTCTAACGGAAACGCCTTCTCTTTGGTTTCTGCTCCGGTCACATTCCCGCGGCGCCTAGCAGGGGCTGGGCCCTAACCGGGCTTGACAGAGCGGCTACTTTAATAAGCGGATGAAGGGGCGCGTGGCCCAGGCTCTCCCCAGCTCATCCACACCTGCTCGTGCCCCGTCGCCCCACTGCACCCGGGTACCTGCAAGCGGGCCTCCCACACCCCGGCAGCCGGAGGCCGACTCCCGCCGCTCCCCTCCGCGCCTTGTGCCTGGAGCTCAGATGACACGGCCTGGAGAAGCTCCCGGCCCCTAGCAAATCTGCCCGCGACTCAGGACCAAATAGTCCGGGGGCCGCGGGTGTCCCCCCGGAGTGACCCTGGGAGCCGCGGCCCAGAGGCCCGGGGAGTGAGGAAGAGTCGGCGCCGGGAGGACAGGCCAGCACCTCCCCACGCGCGCCCGCGTGCCGCTCACCACGCGCTGGGGTACCGCCGCCAGGCCTCGCGCCGCCGACGACGCGGGGACCACTCTTCTCAGCAGCCTCAAGGCCATGGCTCCGCGGCTCGCACCGGCTCAAGGACCCGAGGGGACGCGGTCGCGGCGGGGTCCTCTTTCGCGGCCGGCGCGCCGCCGTGACGTCACGGTCTGGGTGCCCGCGCGGCGCCTGTCAGGAGCTTCCGGGCGCGAGGCGCAGGCGCAGGCGCAGGGCATCGGGCTGCGGGCCCTCGGCGAACGGCGGCGCGGGGCAGGCTCCCCCTGCGCCTGCGCCTCGCCCGGCCTTTCTGGGGTCCGGCCGCCCGATCTGGGCCTGCGGCAGCGACAGGGGCGCTGGAGAGCGTCGGCGGGAGTCCGCGGGGGTCCTGAGGTCGCGCGGGGCGCAGAGCCGAGGCCGCCCCGGGGCTGGCAGGTGCGGCGCGCCTGACGCCCCCCGCCCGCCCGGGGGCCCGAGGCCGGCCGGGGCGGAGCTGCCACCCACCTGGGTCTCCCCCGGGAGCCGGAAGCCCGTCCGAGGCCGGGAAGGTGGCCCGGGACTGGGGCGGGGCAGGGAGAGGGGCCGCGGGCTGACCTCTCCGTCCCGGGTCTCGCAGGCCGTGCAGCACGTCGGACGACGCTGGAGCACGCACCGCTGTGGGTGCGGCGTCAGCGCGGCCCTCGTGAGGGGCTGGGCCCTCGCCTCCACGGGAGATGCCTCCCGCCTGCCGTTCGGAAAGCTGTCCGAGTCTCCCGTCCCTCGGCCTGCTCTCAGCACCCCAGATTTCCTGTCGTGTGACCTCCTTTCGGCTTCCGGCTTTTCGGAATGATCGTGGAATTGCGTGCCTCGTGCGAGTGCCGTTCTGAACACGAAGGTCTTCCAACGGATGTTTCTCTACGGCGAGAATCCCTGCGTGTGCACGGGGCAGAGCCCTCGTCCGCAGAGCCAGGGGGTCTGTCTGCCACCTGCCTCACAAGCCGATTCCGAAGTCAGCGGCCGGCACTGGGACAAGTGCTGTTCTGAACCCTGTGTTTCCTGAGCGCAGGCACGTTCACCTCCTCCCTCCACGGCCACCCCGGCCCCAGGCAGAGCTCCTGACACATTGCACACGCACCTCCAATAAGCAGGTGCGACCAGGGAGTCCTAAGTCCTCCAGCCCCTTGGAGCCACCAAGGCGTCCCATGGCCCTGGGGAGCGCACAGCCCCTTCCCGGGTGTCAGAATCCTGGGCGGTGAGGGGGCCAGCTTTTGTCATGTTCATTGTCCCATGCGCGGCTTTCCCAGCCTGACCCCAGGTGAAGACACATCCTTTATGTTATTTCCCAAGACAGAGTTCTCGTGTGGACACCGGGTACTGACCGCAGCGTGAGGAAGGGGGAGAGGCCCCAGTCGAAACAAAGTCAGATTAAGTTAAACCAGACACCGCTGCCCTGAAGTTCCTCAGACACCCCTGCCGGTGAACCATGATCCCGCCTCTCAGGCCGCGGCCATCGCCCTGTTCCGGGAACTGCCTCCCTGTCCAGGCGCTTCCCAGACCTGGCCTCCTCCCTGGCACCTCCCCCAGGGCTCGATCCGGAGAAGGAAGGACAAGGGACAGTCTACTGGACACAGCTCTGAACACTAAGGTTTGCGAGGAATATTGAAGTAAGGGATGACACATAACTGCTTTTTTTAAAAACCAAAATTTATTTAAACATAATTTTGCAACTAGAGTAAGCGAAGCTCTTGGCACATAGATAATATGTTTTGAGTGTCCCCAGTGGTGAGGCCATTCATAAACACCCTGTTACGGGACCTTGATAGTCAGCTGCAATCAGTACAGTACTGACCCTCCCTGTCCAGAAGCACTGGGAGAGGAAACCGTGCACTCAGTAAATTCACTTCCAAGTGAGCTCCATTTGTAAATATCCTGCAAGTTATAGTTATGCCCAGCTCCAGTTTGAGGGATTATATGATCACTACAGCAGTGAAACCAAACGAGAGAAGAGTCAATATTGGTTCATAAGAAAAAGGTGGTGTTTCTGGATTGGTAGGAGATTTTGCACTATCCTGAGGTCACGTAACTTGTGAGGCTCTACTGGTAAAATTCACATCTGTGTAACGTACACTTAGAAAATCTCTCGAGTCTCCGTTTGAGTTACTGTTTAATACCCGAGTATCAGTACTAACCAGCAACATAAATCAAGTGACGGAATCGCACAGTAAAAGAGACGTTTAGAGCATGTACCTGGCTGCAGGTGTAGCTTGACCTAGACCTTGGTCACTATGCTTGTGTCACTTCTGACTTCTGCTTCCCTGGAAACTTGTGTCCCCATGAAAACCCGTACGTGGATGTTGGTTGTAGCTTTATCGTAATAGCCGGACGCTGGAGTCAGGCTGGATGTCCTTGAGAGGTGAAGAGTTAAACGGACCACGACCCGAGCGCCCCACAGCACGCCGTCAGCGTGGACACAACAGAACAAACAAGGAATCACACTACGTGGAAAATAACTTCTGAGAATGTGTGACTCTATACAACGTTTTGAAATGACAGCATTTTAGAGACCCAGGTCACATCAGTAGCCACAGGGGTTCGCGACGGGGGGAGGCAGGGGGCAGTGGGGGAGAGGTGATGTAGTCATAAAAGACCAACGCAAGGAATCTGCCTGACGCTGGGGCGGTTCAGCGTCTCGATGGCGGTGCTGGGCCCAAAACCTAACCGATGATCACGTTTTATACAACCAAATACTCAGACGTAGACACAAAGTACAGGTAGCACAGGAAGGGAATGAGGTGGGTGGATTGACTCAGTATCAACATTCTGGTTGTGGTCTTGTGCTGTAGTCACGCTAATGCTTTCATTGGGAGAAATTGGGCAAAGCTTACAAAGGATTTCTGTTTCTATATTTTTTTAATATTTATTTATTTTTGAGGGAGAGAGAGAGAGAGACCGTGTGAGCAGGGGAGGGGCAGAGAGAGGGAGACACAGAATTCGAAGCAGGCTCCAGGCTCAGCACAGAGCCCGACACGAGGCTCCAACCCATGAACCATGAGATCATGACCTGAGCTGAAGTCGGATGCTTAACTGACTGAGCCACCCCAGCACATATGAATCTACAATTACCTCAATAAAATTTTAAATTAAAGTGGATAGTATTTATATGGGGCCTTTCTTTTCTGTTCCATCAACCTTTGTGCACCTCTCCCAACAATACCACACAGTCTTTTTTTTTTTAATTTATTTTGAGAGAGAGAGGAAGGGATATAGAGAGAGAGTGTGTGTGCTCACGTGAGTGGGAGAGGGGCAGAGATGGGGGGAAGAGAGACTCCCAAGAAGGCTCTGTGCTGTCAGCACAGAGTCCGACAAGGGGCCTGATCTCATGAACCATGAGATGACCTGAGCTGAAATCATTAATCAGAAGCTTAAGCGGCTGAGCCCCAGGCGCCCCAGCACCACGCAGTGTTGATTGCTGTAGCTTCAGACTAACTCTCAGAGTCGGTGGGCTTAACTCCTCCACCTCCATTCTCCTTTCAAATTGGTTTAGCTGTTCCACTTCTTTGACCTTTTCAGGAATGTTTAAGGGCAATCTTCTCTGTATGTGCAGAAACCCTTGCTGCAATTCTATTAGTAATTGTGTTAAACCTGCAGAGCAGTCTGGGGAGAATTCGCCTCTTCGCTGAGTCCTCCTAGCCCTGCCCAGCAGACGCTCCCACACACGTCAGTTCTGCAGTTTTGTTAGATGTATACCCAAGTACTTAAACAATGTTAAGCACTTTTATTTATTTATTTATTTATTTATTTTAAATGTTTTATTTATTTCTAGGAGAGAGAGAGAGACAGCGTGAGCAGGGGAGGGTCAGAGAGAGAGGGAGTCACAGACTCTGAAACAGGTTCCAGGCTCTGAGCTGGCAGTCAGCATAGAGCCTGACGCAGGGCTCAAACCCACGAACCGCGAGATCATGACCCGAGTGAAAGTCGGACGCTTAACCAACTAAGCCACCCGGGCGCCCCACACTTTTAAATGGTATTTTAAATTTTGGTTCCCTTGTGTTCGCTACTAGTGCATAAAAACACAACTGGATTTTGTACACTTAGTCTGTATCCAGTGGCCTCGCTGAATACACTGTTCGTTCTGGAAGATGTGTAGGTGCCTTGGGACTTCCTACGTCAGCAGTTATGTCCGTAAATAGGAACAGCTTTATTTCATTCTTTCCAGCCTGAGTGCCGTTTGCCTCTTTTCCGGTTCTGATGTCCTGACCTCACCAGCTGACACTTCAGGGCTCTGTGATGGACAGGAGCGGGGGAGCTTGCCTCCTCGAATTCCCAGGGGAAAACACACACACAGTTTCTGGTTAAGTGTAACACAAACTCCAGGAGACTTGTCACTTCTCTTCATGCAGCTGGAGCAGCTCACCAGGTTCTTGTTTCCTGGGACTTGCTCCCATGAACAGATGCTACATTTTGTCAAGCAATTTTCCTGCATCTTTTGGTAACAGCATGACCTCTGCTCCCGCCTGTTAATATGATGGGTCTCAGCCATTGGCTTTTGCATATTGAACCAGCCTTGTATCCCCAGGCTAAACCCCAGGTCACGTGTCACGCTTTTTATAGATTGCTGAATCCTATTTGCAAATATTTTTAAGGAATGTTTTTCATGTATATTCGTGAGTGAGATGGTCTGTAGTTTCCAGTTTGGACCATCTTCTCAAGGTTATGGGATCAGGATAAGACTGGATTCATAAAACCATCTGGGAAGTGTTCCTCGGTTGCTTTCCCCGATCACTTCCTGTTGGTGGGCTCCTGGCGGCCCCCTTTGCCAGCGACGCTGGCCTCTGCTGGAGGTATCAGAGAGGCTGCCCAACAATGCAGAGGAAGAATGAGCCCCTGGGCCCAGACTCCTACACCCAGCAAAGCTGCCCTTCAGATGTGAAAAGGGAAAGAGATGTTCTGGGGTGAAGGAAAACTGAGAGACGCCAGCAGGACCCTACCCCTAAAGTCTGGCTAAAGGAGCTCTCCAAGCAGAGAGAAAATGGTAACAAGAGGAGGTTGGGGACTTGGGAAGGAAGGGAGGACCCTGGCCTGGGTGAAACGGGGGTAAGTATAATAGACCGTCCTTCACCTCGTGAGTTTCTCAGATCACATTGGATGGTTGAGGCAAACGTGATGTTTAAAGTATGTGGACGAGGCACTCAAAACAAGCATCTTTAGGAAGTGGAGAGGGTGCAAGGACGTCAGTGAAAGTCGCCTTTCGCTCTCCCGCAGGAAGTGGTGACGCACTGATAGGTTGTGATAAGTCACAAGCACGTGCTGTGACATCTAGGGTAACTGCTAAGGACACCACGCGATACAGAACCCTGCCGCCCAAGGGTGAGCTCAGGGTGAGCCGAGTTATTGTTACTGCATTATCGCTAATCAAGATGCGTCTCTAAAGAATGTAAAACCTCCCAACCAGGAGGTAAGGAAAAAGGAGAAGAGGAAGGAAAGAGAGAGAGAGAGAGAGAGAGGGAGGGAGGAAGGAGGGAGGAAGGACAGAAGGGAGGAAGAAAAAAATCAGACATAAGCCCTAATAACAATTTGATAACCTAAATTATCCAAATTGAATTTGTAATTTTAAAATTTCCCCTACCTCCCAAAAAAGAGAAATTCCCAGGCCCAGGTGATTTCACTGGAAAATTCTGCCAAACATTTAAAGATTTAACTTTATATAGTCTCCTCCAGAAAACAGAGGAAGAGGGAACACTCCCCAGCCCATTTCATGGTATCAGACAGACAAAGCACATACACAAAAAACAAAAGCAAAAAACCATTTAGACCAATATCTCTCATGAGCTGAGACACAAAAATCCTCAGCAAAATGTTAGCAAATTGAATCCAGCAACGTGTACAGCGGGGACCACACCACCCACACGGGGTCTGTTCAAAGGCTGCGAGGCTGACTTGGTATTCAGTCACCTAGCACTGCGAGCCGCCTTAACGGGTGAGAAAAACCAGCCATCAAAACGCCTGCGGCAGGGGTGCCTGGGGGGCTCAGTTGGTTAAGCATCCGACTCCTCAGGCTCAGGTCATGACCTCATACTCGTGGGTTCGAGCCCTGCGTCGGGCTCTGTGCTGACAGCTCGAGCCTGGAGCTGCTTCAGATTCTGTGTCTCCCTCTCTCCCCGCCCCTCCTCTGCAGTCTGCTTCTCTGTCTCAAAAATAAATAAACATTAAAAAAAAAATTTAAACATCTGAGGTAGAAGAAGCATTTGAAAAAATGCAACACGGATTCATGTTTTCAAACACACACACACACACACACACACACACACACACACACAGCCTGCTAGCACCAGGGAAGCTGGCTCACTTTGGTACAGAACATCTACCCTCAAACCTTACAATTGACATCACACTTCATATGAAGGGTTGATGCCTTACTTTTAATCTTTAAAAAAATTTGTTTTACATTTATTTAGTTTTGAGAAACAGAGCACAAGCAGGGGAGGGCAGAGAGAATGAGACACAGAATCCAAAGCAGGCTCCAGGCTCCGAGCTGTCAGCACAGAGCCTGACGCGGGGCTCGAACTCGCACTGTGAGATCATGACCTGAACCAAAGTCGAAAGCTTAACCGACTGAGCCCCCCAGGCACCCCTGTTCTACTCCTTTTAGGAGAGGAACCAGCAAAGATGCCTGCTTTCCCCATTCCTTCAGCAGAGCCCCGGAACTCCTAAACAACCCGATAAGGAAGGAATAAAAAGGATATGAAAGGCGTACAACTGGAAAGGAAGACATTAGACTGCTTTTATTCATAGACGACGTGATTGGCTACGTAGAAAATCCAGAGCAATCCGCCAACAATGTCCCCGGAAGTAATAAATGAGGTCTGCAAGGCTGCAGATTACAAGGTCGACACAGAATCTGCATATTCCTATATGCTAACAGCAAATACATGGACGCTGAAATGTAACAAGGCAATGGCATCTATAATTTCCCCAGGAAAAGTGTGACACTTGGGTGTTTCCCAGCAGAGCATGTCCGGGACCTGAATGCTGGAAACCACAAACCACCAGAGAAAGAAGTCAGAGCAAACATCAGTCGGAGAGACTTGCTGTGGTTTCTGGGCTGGAAGACTCAGCAGTCAATAATGCCGGTTCTCCTCAAAATGATCTGTATGTTCAGTGCGATTCCCAGAAAAATTCCATCAAGATTTTTTGTACATACAAACAAGCCTATCATAAAATTTACAAGGAGACATACAGGCCCTTCAGTGTTTTGACAAAGAAGAATAAAGTGGGAGGAGCCAATCATTCTCACAATGTTAAGGATTTACCAAATAGCTACATTTCTCAAGACCATGTAGTATCGGTAGAAGGACAGACACATCGATCAACATCAGGAAACAGAGGATCATAAATAAACCGACACAAATATTCTCAACCGACATGTTACACAGGTACAAATGCAATTCAATAAAGGAAGGGTGGTTTCTCACACAATCATGTTGCAGAAGTTGGACATCATGGGCACAAAAGAATGAACGTCGATAAGACCCTCACACCGCACGTGAAAATGAACTCTAGGGGTGCCTGGGGCCTCAGTCATTTGAGTGTCTGATTTCGGTTCAGGTCATGATCTCACAGTTCGTGGGTTTGAGCCCCACATCGGGCTCTGTGCTGACAGCTAACTCAGAGCCTGGAGCCTGTTTCGGATTCTGTGTCTCCCTCTCTGACTCTCCCCTGCTCATGCTCTCTCTCTCTCTCTCTCTCTCTCAGAAATTAAGAAAGAAAGGGAGGAAGGAAGGAAGGAAGGAAGGAAGGAAGGAAGGAAGGAAGGAAGGAAGGAAGGAAATGAACTCTAAATGACCGTGGACCTAAATGTAAAACTATAAAGCTTTTGGATAAGAGTCATAGAATAAAACCTTCCGGACCGAGGACAAGGGAAAGAATTCTTGAACTTGACGTCAAGAGCATGATGCACAGAAGGAAAACGTGGTACACTGGAACTCGGCAAAATTGAAAAGGTTTGTTCCATCAGGGACCCGACACGGACGGCAGGGCAAACGGCAGATGGGAAGAAGAGGTGTGCGATCTGACAAAAGCCTTGCATTCAGAATGTGTAAAAAACTCTCAAAACTGAACATTCAGAAACAATACAGTTAGAAAATGGGGAAGAGGTGTGAACAGACGTTTCACGGACAAGGATACACACATGGCCAACAAGCCCATGAGAAGATGTTCTGCTCCGTTCGCCATTAGAGAAAGGTAAACTAACCCCCCAGGGAGGTGCCACCACGCACTTGCCACCACGCGAGGCTGAGTAAGACACGGCGACAACCCCGCGGTGGGGAGGAGGCAGAACCTGCTCACTCGGTCACCGCCGGCGGGAGGGGAAAGCGGCACAGCCGCTCTGCTTAAGGGTTCGGAGGCGCCTTTCTCACTAAAAATGAGATGTGATACAACCCAGCACTTGGTCTACTGGGCTTTGCCCAGAGAAATGAAACCTTGGGTTCACAGAGAGACGCGCTTCAATGTCTGTCACACTCTCATGCCTCGGAGCTAGCGGCTGGGAGCCCCTTGCTCGTCCTTCATCGCCGGGGCACGCCTGCTGCAGAGCACCGGTCGGCAATAAAAACAGACTGTGGACACGCTTAACAGCCTGGATGGACCGCAAAAGAATGACATCGAACGGGAAAAGCCAGTCTCTACAGATTACATACAGTATGATTCCGTTTATATAACATCCTCGAAGCAACACGGTTATAGACATGGAACAGGTTAGTGGGTGCCAGAGGTTAGGACGTGGAGTGTGTGACTTGTGGTGACAGAAACATTTCACATCCTGGGAAGGTGGTAGTCCCCGAAGCTAAAACCACAGGGCTACTCGTGTGTGAGCGCAAGCGCACGCACACACACACACACGGACGAGTGCATGTGTAACTGAAGGAATCCGAATACGTTTTGTGTGTTGCGTTAAGTCAATGTCCTGCTATGGATGCTGAACTCGTCACACAAGATGGTGTCATTGGGGAAGCCTGGGCGAAGGATACAGAGCGCCTCCCTCAATATTCCCCTGCAACCTCCTGTAAATCTATAATTATTTCAGAAAGAATGTTCTAGACGTGACTGCATGGCTCAGTAGGTTAAGCATCAGACCTTGGCTCAGGTCATGATCTTATGGTTTGTGAGTTCGAGCCTCACGCCGGGCTGACAGCTGCTTCGGCTTCTGTGTCTCCCTCTGTCTCTGCACCCCCTCCGCTCATGCTCTGTCTTTCTTGTCTCTCGAAAATAAATAAGTGTTAAAAAAAAATTAAGGAAAGATCTAAAAATTGTGTTCTATGTGCCAGCAACAAAGGAATAGAGATTAATTTTTTTTAATGAAAAATAAAAATTTTTAAAGTTACCATTTGTTAGTTTAAAAAAACCTTCAAACTCAAACATGCCCAGAAAGATGTGAAAGGTCAATATGCTGAAAGTGACAAGCAGTGTTGAGAAGCTGTAAAGGAAGGGAGTGTGCCTTCCTCTTGGATTAGGAGTCTCAAAATTGTAAAGATGGCAGTTCTCTCCAGATTGGTCTATGGATTCATTACAATCCCAATAAATCCAACAAAGTTTTCTTTTGTTGAAATTGACAAGCTGATTCTCAAATATATATCCCCTGCCACCAATGGGAAGGGCTAAAAATAACTATTTCAATCTTGAAAAACAAGAACAAAGATGTTGGATTTACTACCAGACATCAAGATATGAAAAAGCCATAGTAACTACAACCACATGGCATTCGTACAGGGATAGACACGAAGACAAACAGAACAAAATAAGGAGTTTAAACAGAGAGGAGGGTGGACGGATAGGGAGATGGATGGATGGATGGATAGATGATAGATAATAGATGATAGATAGATAGATAGATAGATAGATAGATAGATAGATGATAGAAAGATGATAGGTAGATGGATAGATAGATAATTTGGTTTATGGAAAGGGTGACGGTGCAGAGGGGAAGACATGTTCTTCTTAATAAATGGCAGGTGCTGAATCAATTTGATATCCAGATAGAAAAGAGTGAACTTAAGCTGGTATCACATACCATAAATTAAAATCAATTTCAGATGGGTTGTAAATCTAAACGTGAAAACTTAAACCATAAAGCTCCTAGAGGTAAACAGGAGAATATCTTTATGGCTTGGAACAGGCAAGCATTTCTCAAGTGGAAGGCAGCAGTAAAAGGAGAAAATGGATGAAGTGGACGTGGAAGTAAAGCCATGCTCCTTAGTGAGAGACGCCGGTAAAAGAATGAAACGGCAAACCCACACACACTGGGACATTTTTACAACCAATGAATCGGCAGAAGCCCGTCCCCAGAACATGGAAGAACGCCCACACATCGAGAAGAAGCAGTGAGTAGATGCAAAACTACAGCAGGACGTGGTAACGGGCACCCGGGCAGGCGCCCCTGCGGGCCAGCCAGCCGCTAACCTCACGGGGACACTCTGCATGTGTCACGGGGTGACCGCAGGCTGAAGTACAAGGAGATCCCATTGTGGTGCCGGGAGAGTGGCTGCTCAAGAAACACTCACAGCACCGAGTGTGGAGGGGGCTCGGAGCCGCTGGGACCCTCAGACACTGCTCATGGGAGCGAGGATCGGTGCCCCCACTACCGAAGACAGTTTGGCAGTCTCCACCAACCCTGCCCAAGCACGTTCCTCGTGTCGCAGCAATTACGGGTGGCACGTCCGTGTACCTCAGCCCAGCCTAGGCACGCAGCTCGCAAAACCGAATGCACAGCAATGGGGAGAAATGAGCCAGAATGTTGACGGGGGCACCGTCCATAATAGACGGCATCTACAACGCCGCCCTCACAGTCAGTGCCCAAGTGTATTGTGATACGTTTCTACAATACAGGACTGTACGCGATCTGCACGAGTCATTGCTACATGCGAAAACATCAAGCATTCACTCAAGCACCATATCGAATGAAAGAAACATGCCAGCATCTTCAAGACTGCATTCATAAAAAGCTCAAAAGTACCAAACCGACTGCTGTCCTTTTATGAAAACGAAAGCAGACGAAGCCTTCTTATTTGTGCACGGTTCTGCAGTTTGCTAAATGTCATTGGCAAATTTACTCTAAAAAGCATAAAGTGCAATATAGCAGAGCATTTTATTATCACTACACATTAGACTTTAGGACATTTGATTGTTCTACCGTGAAGATCGACCTAGCCCAAGAGCTTTTTCAAGGCAGCCTTAAATTCTTTGCTCCTCAGGCAGTAGATCAAGGGGTTGATTATCGGGGTGAGGACGGTGTAAACAGCAGAGATGAGCTTGTTGGAGCTCCGGGAATCAATGGCCTGGGGCCGGACGTACATGAAGATCACGGCCGTGTAGAAGATGGTGACCATGGTGAGGTGGGAGGCGCAGGTGGAGAAGGCCCTCCCGCGGCCCGTGGCCGAGGGGATGCGCAGGACCGCCAGGGTGATGTGCCTGTACGACAGCACCGTGGCCACGAGCGGCAGCACCAGAATGATGAAGGCCAGGACGAAGTCCCCCAGCTCTGCGGTCGAGAAGTCCGTGCAGGCCAGTTTGAGGATGGGGGAGATGTCACAGAAGAAGTGGTTGGGGACATTGGAGCCACGGAACGTGGCGCTGGAGATGAAGCACACCTTGACCACGGAGATGGAGAAGCCGCACGCGAAGGAGAAGGCCACCAGCCGGACGCAGCGCCCCGTGGTCACGATGACGTGGTGGCGCAGCGGGTGGCAGGTGGCCACGTGGCGGTCGTAGGCCATGGAGGCCGGCAGCGCGCACTCGGTGCACACCAGCGAGCTGAAGAAGTAGAGCTGGGTCACGCAGCCGGCGAAGGAGATGCGCCTGCGCTGCAGGAGGAGCCCGCCCAGCATCTTGGGGAGGACGTCGGACTCGTACCAGATCTCCAGGGACGACAGGGCGCCCAGGAAGCAGCACACGGGCCTGTGCGGGGCCGCGCTGCGCCGGGCGGTGAGCAGGACGGCCAGGCTGTCCGCCGGGACGAGCAGGCGGGCGAGCGGGAAGAGGAGGAAGAGCACCGGCCGCAGCCGAGCGGCCGCGGGGAAGCCCGCCAGCACGAAGGCGCCGACCGTGGGCACGTTCTGTCCCCTCATCCCCGTGCGCGGCGGGCCGGGCCTGCAAAACACCACCGCCCGGGGCTGAGGGCCGCGGGGGAGAGGGCAGAGCCTCCCTGCAGGAGACGTCCCGCCCCGAGAGCGGGCGCCCGGCCCCACGAGCAGCTGGGGGAGCAGAAACTGTCTCCAAGTGAAGCCCCTCCGGTCAGGAGGTTCCTGGCGTCCTTGGGGCCGCTCACGCTAAGAACGGGGCTCTGGAATGCGCGCCCACGTCCTCCCCAATATCCCACGGGGGTGTCGTTTCCCTACGGCCTGGAGTTCTCTAAAGACTCGAATCACAGTACGGAAATCCACAGCTCTTTGCAGCCAGGGTCGCGCCAGGGTCGCCTGGTCTGCTGTCTGGCGTCTCGCGCTCTTTCTAACTTGGTAGATATTGAAACTTCCACCTGTTGCAGAGTTGATTTTGTAAGAGGAAGGGACCCCAGTGGGCTCATGGGATGGTGGGATACTGTGTCCCAGGTTAGCCAGACCCCGGAGCCAGGCACACCCACAGGGCTGCGGGTCTTTGGGAGCAGCCGGAATCTCCCAGGCCGAGAGGGAAGCAGTCACATGTCTATCTCTGTGCCATCTCAAGACCCCTAAAAGTATGTCAAAGGAGTAAAAAGATAAAAATCCATAACATCAAAATATCAGAAGAGACCAGGAAGGGAATATCAGCAAAGGAAAGATTTCCACCCATTTCTGGAAGGAAAAACACACACGGATGGCAGAAAGTAGCTGGGGCAGCAAGAGCGTAGGAATCTAGAATGTTCTCAAGGGCCTGTATCTTCCCAGCACCTGACAGGTGTGATGGGAGGAGGTAGAGGCGGCGAAAACAGGGCTCCTAAGTGCGGTCTGCTTCCAGAACAGTCTACTGGCTGCCCTTACACGGCTTTCCCCATCCTACATGTGGGTCCCCAGAGCTGGCCTTCATGGCACCCTCATCACCCTCATCACCCTCGTCAGGGGCCAAGTGTTTCAACATGGGACACATCCCACTGTCATCACCAAGGCCCTGGGAACACAAGGCAGACATCTGCATGCTCAGATGAAGTCAGACCCAAAGCAAAACGCTTACGGGCTTACCCAACCCCGAGGCAGAACCAGGACACAGGCCAGGGCCCTCCGCCTCCACGGCGGCAGCCCCTCTCCCCCAGACAGCAGCAAGATAGACAACAAAGCCATCTGATTGTGGGTCAAGAACGAAGATGGAGTTGCCTTCTGACATGACCCTAATACTTTATACGAACAGAGATCACAGAATAAAAAGTATTTTTTCAGAAGGAAGTGGCAGACAATGCCCTTTAAGGAAGAAATGCTGATTACATAAGCTTTGTGACATCTGTGCTTGGAGCACTGTGTGGTCATTGACAAGAGGGGACACGTCTCTCTACAGGTATGGAGTGACTCCGAGGTACACAGTTTCATGGTCTACACATTCTTAGCAGGATGTACAGTGCGCTCCACTGGTCTGAGTAAGGGTGCATATGTGGGCAGAGTATGGGTGATGGTCATACGGGGGACTGGGTGTGCCCACTGCCCCAGGAGGGGAGAAGCTGGTGGCCGGGTCACAGCGGTGGAGGGACACAGTCTAGATGCTTGCTACCTTTTCCATTTTGTTTCATGTAAATGGATTATTTATTCAAAATACTGATCCATTGCTTATTTTTAAATTCTCCAATTCTCCTTTAAAAAGAAAATGTTACGGGCGGGATTAAACATTCAGCAAGTAGACATTTCCTTACGCAACATTTCTACTTCCGTATAGAAAACCCACAGACTGAACAGGTCGCTGGGGGAGAAACATACCAAACAAGGCGTCACGTGCCTCTAACAGGGCAAAACTCTCGAATGCGGCATTGCTTAGCCGCATGATGAAAAGAAGGGAGTTGAGTGAAAAACCACAGAATCACAACAAAAGCATCCATCCTCCCAAAATAATAGACTAATTGAAACACAGAAAAGAAGACCTGGAGAGGCAATGGACATACGGCTGACCCTTGAACAGCGTGGGATGAGGGGGTGCTGATGCCTGTGCAGTAGAAAATCCGCATTATGACTTCTGACTCCCCCAAAACCTCACTGCTGATAGACCACTGGTGACTGGGAGCCTTACCAATAACATGAACAGTTAATGAACACATATTTTGTATGTTGTATGTATTATATACGGTATCCTTATGATAAAGTCAGCTGGAGAAAAGATGTTATTAAGAAAATCGTTAGGAAGAGAAAATACATTTACAGAACTATATTGTATTTATGGAAAAACAATCCACATATAAGTGGACTCATGCTGTTCAAACTCATGTTGTTCAAAGTTCAGCTGCACACCAATGGCATCTATCAGGGCACGGATAAGTAGGTAAATTATTAGGAACCTAAACAACTAATATAAATGTAACAGATCTTTAGAGAAAAATGCGTAATAAATACCAGGTCGGTGCCTGGCTTGCAGCGAGCACTTCATAATTGGTGGTAGTAACGTGCACAGGAGTTGAATTAATGAAATATAATAAATCAGCTTTCCCGTCCATATACTGATTAAACGCAAATATAAACCATAACGGAGTGCAGGACAGAACTGCCCCCAGCCTCGCACACACGCTCATGATGCCTGGGGTGCCCCGGGCCACCCCACTCGACGGGCCCTGCTGCGGGCCGTCACCCCACACCCACCTCCGTGGTGGGCCTGCCCCCTCTGCTGGCATCCACTGCGATCCTGGTCTCTGCCGACTGCACTTCCCGAGGCAGGAGCTGCCCCCTCGCTCACCAGTGGCCCAGCCACAGGCAGGATCGCGGAAGCTGGAGGGGGCGTCCCTGATCAGGGAGGGGGCGGAGATGGAGGCCCGGGACAGAGAAGAGGGGCAGCCGACAGTGCGGCTCAGCCAGGGATGCCGAAGAGGAGATTGTTCCCTCCCCCTCTCCTCGGGTCCTCAGATCCCAGAGACATCTCTTAGGAAATGCAGAAATAGAGAAGCCCTGATGATGTGGGAAGCTGGGGAGGACATTGGGCCACAAGCCTGGCGTCTGGAGGCTGTGACCAGGCTCCTGCGCGTGGAAGAGAAGAAAGCGCTGATGAAGTCGACTTACCCGCAGAGCTACAGCCCAGCGGAGGCGACGGCGGGGATGTGCCCCCAGGGCTCTGACTAGGAGGGCCGGGCAGGGGGCAGCATGGCTCCCGGAGGGCTCTTTGTCCCTGCGAACACGCAGGACTCAGAGGGCTGTGGTGCTGGCTGGGGCGCAGGAGGCCGGAGCGGGGCGGGGTGCCAGCAACCCCAGCATGGGGGGGAGGCCAGTTCTGGGATCAAGGAAAAAGAATCCTAAAAGCATCCAGACAGAATAAAACAGATTTTATAAGATGGAAGATCAGCGGATAAGCTTTGTTTTTCCCCAGGTCATTGGAGCCCAGAACACAAGGGAGAAACCAGTACTCACGCCCGGGACAGCTGGTCGACCGGCCGAGGGATGGAGGGCGCGGGCGAGAATGCTGCGTCCAGACCACCGCACGGGACGTCCTCCACACAAACCACTTCTGAACGTGGGGCTGACCAGCCCTTCCTCCAAATTAAACCCAGACGTCACGCTGTCCCCTAGACGTGGCGATCGGTGCCTCAGCCACCCGCACACAGAGACGGACGGGGAAGGAGGGCCCACACACCCAGCATAGCACTTCCCCCAGCGGCCGGCCGCAGTCAGCAGTTACAGAACCAGATGCGAACATCAGCCCTTGTGGATCGAGAAGACATATAATGCAAAATAATAACCATGGTTCCATGGAAAAGAGAGACAGAAACTGAGTTTACACACATCAGGGAAAATCCGAGAGTGGCAGTGATTATAATGAGGAAAAACTGTGTTATTTGCCTCACGTCTCAGAGGAGCACACCAAATGGGCACATCTCATTCTTGGAATTTATAATTAGAAGTAAAGGAAACACCAAGAAAGCACATAAATAAAGTGTGACAGTGACAGGAAAAAAATGTATCAATCGTGACAATAAACATAAACAGAATAAAATTTGGCAAAAGGAGAGGGCTCTCAGCGTATGAGGAAGGAATCGGTGTGTGCACTCTGCGGAGTGAAACACCCAGGCAGGTTGAAGTTACAGGCGTAGCTCAGGTATGTCAAACACACGAGGAGAAGGCATGATTTCAGAATTAATACCTGATCACGTAACATTCGAGACTTCAGGTAGTCAGTCTTATTTATGGCCCTTCTGGCGCACAGTATGACCGCAACAGAGTCGGCAGTGAGGCGGCGGGTCTCAGCGCACGTCACTCACACCTGGTCAGACCCTGCACGGCCAGAGTGAGTGAGGGTGTGAGTATCAGAATAACCTGAGCTACAGGCTGATTGGAGGGCTATTAATTCTGCACCTTGGAAAAAGGGAAGTGCCCACAGAGAACTTGGAAAAAAGTGACCTGTAATCTCAATAAAAATTCACACTATCTCCAAAACAGACATCATAGATGCCCCAGTTTCTTAAAAGCAATGGAACGAAAAATTGAGTTAACGTCACACAAAACGCGACTCCTAACTGTGTGGCAAAGAAGAGAGCGCTCACTAACAAACCCCTACGTCCACGAGGAGATCGGAGCCACAGTCACAGACCACGCAGAAAATAATGTTAACAACACTGCCCGAGTCCAACCTGGCCAGGCCCTGCTCCTGGGCGATTTTGTGCCTCTGAATGCTGTTACTTTTTAGTCGGAAAGAAGAGGGGAAAAAAAATAATAATAAAATAAAATAAAATAAATAGCTTTCAACTCAAAAAGACAGAAAATGTATTAGCCAATCTGAGGACATGCAGAATAAAGAAAAGGAAAAAGGAAACTACTTTAATTAGGGGGGGGCGCCTGGGTGGCTCAGTTGGTTGTGTCCGACTTCAGCTCAGGTCATGATCTCACGGTCTGTGGGTTCGAGCCCCGCGTTGGGCTCTGTGCTGACAGCTCAGAGCCTGGAGCTGCTTCGGATTCTGTGTCTCCCTCTCTCTCTG